AAATATCGAGGATTCGAAGGGTTCTGATTGAGAATTCTAGATTCACAGCCCTGGTTTTTATTTTATTATCTGCAGCAATATATTCATTTCTAATGTTCTTGGGATTAACACCCTCTAAAGAAAGAAAGAAAGCATAATTGAATGGAGTTCCAATCAGTAGGGCCACTTAGGGCGCGCTGGGGTAACAGCCCTTTGAACAATTAAAAGAGCCAATTTTGTTTTCTATACCATGTTATCTAAAAATAAAAAGGAAGTTATTTTAAAAAATAATTTTTAAAATAAATTTCTTTGAGCCCCCCTGAGATTGTAAAGGCGAGTGACGCCCCAGGTCCCAGTATAATAATTTGTGTCTACTATTTTATTATCAATATATTTTAAATAAATAGCTAGGTTTTGTAAAAAAGAATGTTAAAATTTCTTTATGCTCATTTAAATCTTATTTGGATATAATGCAATAATGAACACACTCAAAATGTGCTATTTTTTGTGTAATCAATATTGTCAAAAATTGCAACATTATTTGTTCAATTAAACAATATTGTTATGTTCAACTTTAATTTTAACAACTTTACCCTGATGCTTAGCAATTTTACCATGGCCATGGGGTAAGATTTTGTGAATGAGGGATTTGGCTGCATAAAAATCTATAATTTGTTCTGTTTTGTTTATGTTTCAAAAAATTTATCGTAAAAATGTATAAAACCAATCATTTAACTCCGGTACAATTAAAATTTCTAATCATTTTTATGATGCATAACTTTATTCGATACACTTGACTAGTGTTGCGTAATCGGCTAAAAACTACGCCTAAGCCTAATAAGGCTAAGCAAATCGGCTAAGCCTAATTAGGCTAAGCCTAAAAATCGGCTAAGCTATTAGCCTAAGCCTAAAAATTGGCTAAGCCTAATTAGGTAAGCCTAAAAATCGGCTAAAACTAAAAATCGGCTAAGCCTAATTAGGTTAAGCCTAAAAATCGGCTAAGCCTATATAAATCTGCTAAAAATTAGTCAAAATTCTGCATCGATGCTTAAATTTTAGTAAAATAATTTATTTTATTTATATTTAATGTAAATATTTTATTATTATCAACAAATAAACATGATATGATTTAATATTTTTTATTTATATTATTATATTTTGAAATGAAAATAAATTTATTTATTTGATGTTATTTTAATAAAAAAAATAATATGCTGCTATATTGTAAAAATGTAATATTCTTTTTAATATAATTTATTAGTGATTTTCACAATCTTCTTTATAAATACATCTTTTATTGAGAAATTATATTGTAAATTTTATTAGATAAATATCTTTTAGATGAAATCTTTTATAATTTTTTTATCATTTTTTTTAAATTATCTTTTTTATTAAATGAGGTGGATTTTATGAAACTTTTTTGATGATTTTATATGATCTTTTTAAGGATAATATTTTAATGTGACAATTGTCATAATCGTTATTTTATAAGTTTTTTGAATTTTTTTGAAGAAAATAGGTTAAAATAAGTATTAATAACATGTGTAAATATAAATTTAGTGAAGATGTACCAAAGAAAAGTGACAATTGTCATAATCGTTATTTTTAAAGTTTTTTAATTTTTTTGACGACAATATGTTAAAATAAGTATTAATAACATGTTTAAATAAAAATTTAGTGAAGATGTACCATAGAAAATTGACAATTGTCATAATCGTTATTTTTAAAGTTTTTTGAATTTTTTTGAAGAAAATATGTTAAAATAAGTATTAAAAACATGTTTAAATAAAAATTTAGTGAAGATGTACCATAGAAAAGTGACAATTATCATAATCGTTATTTTATAAGTTTTTGGAATTTTTTTGAAGAAAATATGTTAAAATAAGTATTAAAAACATGTTTAAATAAAAATTTAGTGAAGATGTACCATAGAAAAGTGACAGTTGTCATATTCGTTATTTTATAAGTTTTTTGAATTTTTTTGAAGAAAATATGTTAAAATAAGTATTGATAACATGTTTAAATAAAATTTAGTGAAGATGTACCATAGAAAATTATTGACATTGTCATAATGGTTATTTTTAAAGTTTTTTGAATTTTTTTGACGAAAATATGTTAAAATAAGTATTAATAACATGTGTAAATATAAATTTAGTGAAGACAATGAAAAGTGACAATTGTCATATTCGTTATTTTTTAAATTTTTTGAATTTTTTTGACGAAAATATGTTAAAATAAGTATTAATAACATGTGTAAATATAAATTTAGTGAAGATGTACCAATGAAAGGTGACAATTGTCATAATCGTTATTCTTAAAGTTTTTTGAATTTTTTTGACGAAAATATTTTAAAATATGTATATATAACATGTTTAAATAAAAATTTAATGAAGATGTACTCTAGATAAGCGACAATTGTCATAATCATTATTTTTTAAGTTTTTTGATTTTTGTTGACGAAAATATGTTAAAATGAGTAATAATAACATGTTTAAATAAAAATTTAGTGAAGATGTACTATAGAAAAGTGACAATTGTCATAATCGTTATTTTTAAAATTTCTTTGATGTAAATAGGTAAAAATATAGATTGTAAAATTAAAATTGCCTGAGTATATGCCATAGAAAAACATATGGTAATAATAGATTCTTCCCCATAAACAGGAGCAAATTGGCATTTTATTACATTTGTTCATCGGGTCAGAAATTAATATGCAAAATTTATATCATAATATCTAATCCTAAGTTAGAAATTATTATTTTTTTACCAATTTTCACCAGACAATCTTGTTAAAAATTTGGGTAAACTTTTTTTTCTATTTTAAAATCAATATCGATGCAAGTTAACTATTTTCGTCAAAAAAAATCAAAAAACTTTAAAAATAACGATTATGACAATTGTCGCTTATCTAGAGTACATCTTCACTAAATTTTTATTTAAACATGTTATCAATACTTATTTTAAAATATCTTTGTCAATAAAATTCAAAAAACTTTAAAAATAACGATTATGACAATTGTCACTTTTCATTGGTACATCTTCACTAAATTTATATTTACACATGTTATTAATACTTATTTTAACATATTTTCGTCAAAAAAATTAAAAAAATTAAAAATAACGATTATGACAATTGTCACTTTTCTATGGCACATCTTCACTAAATTTTAATTTAAACATGTTTTTAATATTTATTTTAACATATTTTCTTCAAAAAAATTCAAAAAATTTTAAAAATAACAATTATGACAAATGTCGCTTTTCATTGGTACTTCTTCACTAAATTTATATTTACACATGTTATTAATACTTATTTTAACATATTTTCTTCAAAAAATTCAAAAAACTTTAAAATTAACGATTATGACAAATGTCACTTTTCATTGGTACATCTTCACTAAATTTATATTTACACATGTTATTAATACTTATTTTACATATTTTCGTCAAAAAAATTCAAAAAACTTTAAAAATAGCGATTATGACAATTGTCAGTTTTCTATGGTACATTTTCACTAAATTTATATTTACACATGTTATTAATACTTATTTTAACATATTTTCGTCAAAAAAATTCAAAAAACTTTAAAAATAACGATTATGACAATTGTCACTTTTCTATGGTACATCTTCACTAAATTTATATTTACACATGTTATTAATACTTATTTTAACATATTTTCGTCAAAAAAATTCAAAAAACTTTAAAAATAGCGATTATGACAATTGTCACTTTTCATTGGTACATCTTCACTAAATTTATATTTAGACATAATATTAATACTTATTTTAACATATTTTCGTCAAAAAAATTCAAAAAACTTTAAAAATAACGATTATGACAATTGTCACTTTTCTATGGTACATCTTCACTAAATTTATATTTACACATGTTATTAATACTTATTTTAACAAATTTTCGTCAAAAAAATTCCAAAAACTTTAAAATTAACCATTATGACAATTGTCACTTTTCATTGGTACATCTTCACTAAATTTATATCTACACATGTTATTAATTCTTATTTTAACATATTTTCGTCAAAAAAATTCGAAAAACTTTAAAAATAACGATTATGACAATTGTCACTTTTCATTGGTACATCTTCACTAAATTTGTATTTACACATGTTATTAATACTTATTTTAACATACTTTCTTCAAAAAAATTCAAAAAACTTATAAAAGAACGATTATGACAATTGTCACATTAAAATATTATCCTAAAGATCATATAAAATAACATCAAAAAAGTTTCATAAAATCCACCTTATTTAATAATAAATAGATAATTTAAAAAAAATGATAAAAGATTTCACCTAAAAGATTGTTTATTTATCTAATAAAATTTACAATATAATTTCTCAATAAAAGATGTATTTACAAAGAAGATTGTGAAAATCACTAATAAATTATATTATAAAGAATATTACATTTTTACAATATAGCAGCATTTTATTTTTTTTATTAAAAAAACATCAAATAAATAAATTTATTTTCATTTCAAAATATAATAATATAAATAAAAAATATTAAATCATATCATGTTTATTTGTTGATAATAATAAAATATTTACATTAAATATAAATAAAATAAATTATTTTACTAAAATAAATAAATAATAAGTAGTGCTAACGCTAAGCATCGAGGCAGAATTTTGACTAATTTATTTTAGCCAATTTTTAGGCTTAGCCCATTTTTAGGCTTAGCCAATTTTTAGGCTTAGCCGATTTTTAGGCTTAGCCTAATTAGGTTTAGCCGATTTTTAGGCTTAGCCTAATTAGGTTTAGCCGATTTTTAGGCTTAGCCTAATTAGGCTTAGCCGATTTTTAGGCTATACCTAATTAACATAGCCGATTATTCCACCTAAAATCTCGGCTAAGCCGTTTTTAGTCGGCTAAAATTAGCCGATTACGCAACACTACACTTGACATAAAAAATTTTTGAAAAATATAGCGATATCTCGCTAAACCTTTATTTTCCTATTAAAAATATTATAATATATTTCGATGAAACAATATCAGGATTTTGACAATATGTAATTGTAACGCTTTAATCTCAGTTGAAATACATTTTTGGCGAAATCGTATAAATCTATATCGAGCCGGTTATTATAAGCGATTTTCTGTTTGATGAAGTAGGAAGCATTTTGGTACGATTGTATCCATTCAGTGTGGTTCAAAAATTCATAAGTCCAGGAAAAATTTAAACCCAACATTTTATAAAAAAGGAATCGAGATTCGTTAGAATATTCGGGAATCGCGAAGGCCTGAAACCCATTCAGCAAATTATATTTGGCATTCTTGAGCAATAAATCATCCTTTTGATCAGCGGTTAGGCTTTTTTTAAATATATTGGTACATAAAAAATCATACATTCCTTTTTGTACATTTTGGTAGCTATTATAAAATATCTCAAACTAAATTTAAATATATTTTCTAAAAAAGTATAGTTTAAACTTTGTTCTATTTATTGAAACTATTTTCCACAATCATAGCAAGGTAAAGTAATTTGGACAAGTTTTTTTTATTTATATTGGTTTTAGTATTTGAAATATTAAAAACAATATATCAGTAATTATAATACCTTTTATTACATTCTATCGAAGGTAAATCAGCGAAATGTCTAGTCATTCTATTGTTAGACCAGCTTTTACTGCAGGAAACAAAATCCACAAGAGTCAAATTTTTGGTATATTTAGAGAAACAATCAGGTTGTTGGATTATTTCATCATGGCATACTATGTAAGATTTGTGCCAATCTTGGTTTCTCCTGATATGCATAAATTCGCTCACATATCTAGCTATCGGATCCCTCACGAGACTTATGAAATACGTTCTATAAAATATTTTTTAAAAAAAATTTAATTAAAAAAAAATTTGGGTAGGTTTTGCCATTTCTAACAACAATATATACTCAGGGCTAATCCTGAAAAATGGAGGAATGGAATACCAGGATTGTGGATACTTATAATGGATATCATTGCACTTAGAATGCCAGATAGAACTTAGGTTAATAAAGATACACTATTCGATATTAAGCTCAAGACCAATATGACCAATAATACATTCATTTGAATATACATAAATAAATAATTTTTAATGCTGTAAATGTTACTTCAAAAAAGAAACGCGTTACTCGTTACAACTTTGAAAAAAAAGGAACGCGTTACAGTTACTTGTTTTATTGTTAAAAAAGGAACGTCGCTATTCAAAAAGGTTAACTCCTATACCTCATTACTTAAAAAATACCCCATAAATAATAAATATAAAATTATATAAAAATATATATTATAAGATGGGATCTTTTTGTAATAATTTTTTATTTATTTTTTAAAAACAATTGTTTTTCAAAATTTTGACCAGATAAATAAGAACGTTTAGGGCTCAACCCAATTTTCTCTGTGTTAAAAACACACCTTCAACTGGCGTAGAGGATGGGAGGGTTGTATTATATTTAATAAAGAAACGTTTTAATTGGGGGATATTAAAAATATTAAGAGAATGATCTTTATTTTCAAAAAAAACACTTTATTAGATCATCTTCGCAAGAATCTTCATTTAGATACTCATCAAAACTTTTTTTTATTTTTATATATAGAAACCAAATCTGATTTTCCTTTATATTTTTCAAGATATTTTTAAACTGGAAATAATTTCGTGCCTTTTCCTTCGATGATCTTTAATTTTATCCATGGCTAATACAATTTAAATAACGCGTGAACGATTGCTGAGAGTTTATATTCATCTTTATAGATGTGTTCGAATATTGAATATAATCCAAAATATAAATTATAAACAATATATCAACTGTATTTATTTTATCTATGCCATGTAAATTTCATTAATAAGCGGTTTACAAAATTTGATATTAATTATTGTCATTTCTTAAGTTTGTAGAAAATGATAAATTATGGCATTTATGCCTTTATATTTCATACTATTGATATGTAATAAAATTACTTATATTTTAATTTAATGATTGAGTTTTTTAAAATATTATATTTATGATTAAAACATTATGAAGAAAAAGAATACTTCTTTTAATGGTTATTTATTTTTATATTATAAGAAAAACAAATATGATTTTTAAGGTAAACCCGGCCGAAGGCCGGATAAAAGGGCCGAAGACACGTTAAAGTGGGGGGGGGTCTGGAAGCTAAGCCCCCCAGGCATTTATATGTATGGGCCCTCTCTAAGAAAAATTCCTAGCTACGCCACTGATTATTAAAATTTGTCAAAGTAATGTAAATTAATTAGATTAACAATCTTGATTGATTGTAATTCAATAACAAAAATATAATAAATAAAACAAAAATGAAGATTTATTTGGAACTTGTAAATTAAACTTTAAATTGTTCATACATCAACAAGAACTTATTTGATTTGATACAAAAACATATTTATCTCTTATTTTATTTACCCTCGCGAAGTTGTTATTTTATTTTGTTAAATTCAAATATTATTTACTGAAAAAAGCTTTATATAAATATATCTTAAATTTTAGAAATGAAGATAGAAAATGTACTTTTATTTTATAATTTTGTATATAAAATATAATCATAATAAATTAAATTCTTTTTCCACCACCATAAACTTCAGGTAGTTGATCTAAATTTAAAAAAAAAATAAAGTAACGGATAACGTTTTGCGTTACCGCTACTCAAATAAAAGAAGAAACGCGTTCTCATTACGTTTTTGAAACAAGTAACGAATAGAATTCCTTTTCTATTAGTACCGACGTTACTTTAGGCGAATAATTTATAGTTAAGTGCAATTCATAATTTTCATAACTATATTCATAATAGGAAATAAGGTTGAGAGTTTGGAAGTGATGGATAAACGTAAAAGAGGAAGGCCAAAACTTCAATGGGGCCATAAAGTTAGAGCCAATATAAAGAAGTATAAATTAGATAAAAGAGATAGTATGAATAACATAAAGTGGAGAGGGATGTTGAAGGAGCTTACCACCAGAAAAGGTGAAAGCTAAAGAGAGAAAATATTTATATTTATATTAGACTTTAAAAAATAATTTTAATTTTTTTTATTTAATTTTATAAAATATGTAGGTAATATGCGTATCAAAACATTTAGCTTAGCAAGTTTTTACAGAACCCTTATGCATATCTGTATATATATTTTGAAATTTATTAAAGCCTAAATCTAAATTGACCATCCTCAGTAACTTAGTAATTACATGAGAAAAATTATTTTGTTTTCATTTAAATAAATTTGGAATTTAAATTAAAAACTGGACCATTTCTACAAAAGCATCCTTCATAAAGCGACTTATTATTTGTATTATAGCAAGTATATAGTAAATGTTAATCCGGGTTTATATCAAATCGTTAAGTTGTATTTCAACATGTATATTAGTAGCTCCCCTATGAATTTGAAACATTTTGTCATCAACATTTAAACAACTCTTGATTTATATTATATTTTTTATATAAATTTATACAAAAATTTACTGCGAAATTGTCTGAAATTCACATGGGTATTCAATACATGCTGAAATACGATTTCGGCAAAATCAGGTCTTTCAAAATTAAAAAATATTACTTTTTAAAATTTTCTAAACACCCGAGTAAAAGAAGAATAGATTAAACTCCTACCACATATAATACTGTTATTTAATTTAATGAACATTAAACCTTTCCAAGTTGGTTTTCCTCATGGTGTTATAATCAATGCCAGGGCCAGATATTCGACCATCCTTGATTTCGATAGCATTACTTTTAATATACGATTTCCATTTATCCTTATAATTTTGGTGCAATTCTAAGTATTTTATCCATATAGGCAAACATCTTCTGACCCATATGAAGGGAGGATGGACTCCGCATAATTTAGAATTATAATTGAATCTCGAAAAAAGCCAGGTTTGGAATGAATCATTGGAATGGGCTTTTACATCCCTGGGACAATTACATCTGTGAACTAGTTTCACAATTCTTTTACAGTGACATCTAGGCGCACCAATGACGTCATGGGTTAAGACATATTCGAAACGAGTTCCACCCGTCTTCTGCACGTGAATGAAGGCAAGTAGGTCGCTGGAAAAATTGAATTTTATTGGTTTTATTGGATCACCAATCAAGTCCAATTTCGAAGCTGGTTTTAAAAGATTATAATCATCCGATATTGAATTCACCTGGATATAATATACCCTATCACCAATAATGAGCCAAAATAAATATAATGTATACGCTATCAAGATATAATAAATTTTTTTAATCATCAAATAAAAATATTATACAAATTAACTTGCTATTTTATTTATATAATATTTACCTTTTTGAATATTTACCTTATTGAATATTTTGTATATTGAAAATTGAAGTCAGCATAAAATATTTTGTTTTTCTAATTTTTATAAATATTAATTTTCTAAATAATCGAAAATTTTGTTTAATAATTTACTTTTTCTGAAATTATGTGGCCCGCATATATTATTTATTTTCTTTCGGGAGATACTTCCAATTTACCATCCATTCATTGATTATGCCTAGAATTCCAATTAAAAAAATTCCCAGAGTAAGCCCATTTAAAAAATAACTAAGGGATCAATTTATAAATACTTTTTTTCTGTCAAATAATTTCATTTAAAAACGATTTCAATAACCATAAAGTTGATGGTCTCGTACTTGTCCTTCCAGAAACCCGAAAAATCACAATAAAAACTCCATAGATTCTTCTTACTCATTCATACCCATCGCACGCTCCATTCATACCAGGCTCGAGAGCATAAGTTCAATGATTTTTTAAAGAATTATGGAGACGGATTGGAGAAAGACTGATCATTCAAAGGAATCTCTTTTATATAGAACATTGCTTGCTACCGCGATTATTAATTCAAACTATCCAAATTTTATTTCTTCCAACGAATAATCTTCCATGCCTTCTTATGCTTAATTTTCTCCTCTTTCTTAGTTTTTCTTCACTATTTTCTTTCTAGATTTTGTTTTTTTAAAAAAAATTTCATACCTTTTTTTCTCCTTAATTATAATTTCATATTTATAGTCTTTATGTTTTTCTTTCTTTGGTTGTTGCTTCTTTCGGGGGATTTTTTAAAATGTTTTTTTTAAAAATAAAAATATCAATATTGGATTGGTTATTTTTCTGATAGATTAATTTTTTTTAAAAAAATTTTAAAATTTTATATCTAAATATAAATATTATCACTTCCTAGCTTTTTGAATTTTTAACATATTTAAAGCTATATCAGATTATTATTAGAGTATATATAATAAATATATATATTTCCTAGATGAATAAATTGATAACGAAGAAGCAACTTATGAGTTTTGTTTAAATAAACAATTAATACCGTCAGGAATAAAACATACTTGTTCCATAATGTAATTAGAAAAATACAAGACTTTGCAAAATTATATTAGTATATTTCAATTTAATGAATAAAACGAAGTTCTTAAAATTTAAGTAATAACCCCCCAAAATTTGATTTTTTTAAAATGATTGTTTAAATTTTAATAATATATTTCGATTTAATGAAAAATATTGCGTCAAATCTAAAAATTTAATTGACCTCCCCCTCCTCACTCAATATGTAAACGCTGTATACATATTTTAGAAAACCAATCAGAAAAAGAAACAATCCAATATTAATATTAAAAAATAAACACAAAAATATGGTAAATGGTTTGTGAGCCATAATTACCATTGGTTATTATTTTTATTTATATATCTGTCTTATCATTGGTTGAAGTTTATTAGTTTATCTGTCTTATAATTGGTTGAATTTTATTTATCTATTATATTTTAAAATATTTTTTTTGATGAATGATATTTTTATTATCAAAATTTTGGTTGTTAATTGTTACACATATACATTTTTTTAAAATATTTTTAATAAATGTCTAAAATATTTAATTTAACTGTCAACCCGGCTAATAGAAGCATAAATACCCAATTTGGCGCGACCTCAAATAAATTATGTTAAATCTGGGAGGTCCCAGTTTATGGAAGATTACATAAACATATTTATTTAAAGAAGAGAGAAAATATAAATTTATTGAATATCTTTATAAAGTTTTAATTCCTATTATAAATATATAAAACATAAATTTCATTATACATTTTTATATTTAAAAAAATAAATCGTACTGCTTATGAACACTCCCAAAAATTGTACAACCTATAACAGAACAAGAAATAATCACATGCCTTAAGCATATGAAAAACAACAAAGCTAGGGGTCCAGATGATATTGCAAAAGAAAGCCTTAAAGCACTAGGAGATGATGGAATTCATCTCCTTACAAATCTGTACAATAAAATACTGGGAAATGAAAAGATCCCTCAAAAATGGAAGCAGAGCTACCTAAGTTCCTATTTTCAAAAATAAAGGGGATCCACACAATTGTCAAAATTACAGGGGCCCAAAACTAATGTCACACTGTCTTAAACTCTACGAAAAAATAATAGAAAAAAGGTTAAGTGACATAATAAAAATAGGAGAGACTCAGTTTGGCTCTATGGCTGGAAGATCAACAACTGATGCTATCTGCGCAATTAGGCAAATGAGTTAAAAATACAGGAAAAAGAACAAAAAGCTACACATGGCCTTCCTTGCTCTAGAAAAGGCCTTCGATAGAATCCCAAGAAAACTTATCTGGTAGGCGCTACGCCATAAAAAGGTTCCCAAAAAATATAAGAATAATACAGGATATGTATATGGGCCCTACAACAATGGTCCGTAGCACAACTGGTACTTAAACAGGCTTCATAATAGTTGAGGGAGTTAATCAAGGCGACTCTCAGCCCACTTCTCTTCATAACAGTAATAGATGTATTAGCACAGTCTATACCACAAACAGTACGGTGGAATATGATATTGCGATACTTGCCGAATCCAACGATATGAAAGATAAATTAATGAGCTGGATAAATATCATAGAAAAGCACGGACTAAAGGTAAATAGAGAAAAGACGGAGTATATGGTGATAGGAGGAGATGAAACAGAGACTATTGATATAAATGAATGGCAGATATCGGTAATTGAAAGCTGCAAATATTTGGGCTCCACTATACAAACAAACGGCACAATAGAGAAAGAGATAAAGAGTACAATTAATCAAGGGTGGTTAAAGTGGAGATCTTTATCTGTAGTGCTTTTAGACAAAAGAATCCCACACAAATTGAAGGGAAAAATTTACAGTTCCATACTACAACCATCCTATATAGTTAGGAAACATGGCCAACCAAAGCAGACGAGAGAAATCTACAAACTATGGAGATGGTCGATAACCGATATTTTAAAAAATGTAACATCGGCCCGATCTGATAAAATTATACTCTACTTTGCACCAAATCTCTGCAAGGAACTGATTAAACGGGCAATAACATTCTCTAATTTATCGAAACGGTGATTTCAAAATCTTGTTATAGTGTTTTTCCATAATGTTTTTATAAATATTAGAAGAAAACCTTATTTTTTAAAATTTTTCTTTCATTTTTCTACATATAAGCTTTTTTTTCTCAATCTGACATTTTTAAATTTATTCAAGGCCGCATTCATAGATCCTGCCAAGCATCTGATCGATTCTTAAAATCTGTTTATTAGAGCAATTTTTCTGTCTTAATATTGTCTTTAATTATATTCATAATAATAATCTAAGAATTATTGATTTATAGTAAAGAAAAATTGATCTCATAAACATATTTAAAAAATAATCAATCATGGTAAATCGTGTTGGATTGGATCCCTCTAGAAAGAAGTGGTCAAAATTGATCAATCATCAAAATTAGAGAAATAATGCTAAAAATGTCAGATCGGCCAGAAAAAAGTTTGACGAATGGCTATCCTAGTTCGAAACTCATTGAATTTAAACCAAAGTTTTCTTTAAAAAAACCAGCGTTTTTTTTTATTGTGGAAAATATAAAATTTATTTTCTAATAAAAAAAGGAACTATACAATTACAATAAGTATTATATTAAAATAATATACATATATAATATTATATAAAATGTCAAAAAAAAACACAAAAGAAATTCAATCAAAAAAAATAATACAAATATTTTTTTAGTGTATAATATAAATATATAAATAACGGGAATATAAAATTTAGGGTTTTGGTGGGAGGGAATGTGATTTAAATCACATAAATAATATTTTCATTAAAATATTTTAAATTAGTGTTTTGTCGCGCGTATAAATAAAATCGTTTTTCTGTCTAGCTTTGGCTATAATTTGTGTATTCGTTTTTGCGTAGACACAGCATGTAAAAATAAAATAAGCATTCGCGCGGAAATGTTTTGAATTATAATTTTGATAAATAAAAAAAATAAATAATTGATGAAGGAGGATATTGCAATATAAAATTAGATGAATGTATTTTTATGAATGAATGTTATTTTTTAATCACGAATAAGAAATACTCTTTTTTTTAAGTTTATAGTAAAAAAAATAAATAAATAAAGTTTTTACTTGGGAATGTTAATAAAAGTTCTAAGGAAAAAAAAGAATAATACAAAACAACTTAGGAATGAATGACATTTGGAAAAAAACATATGTTCATGATTACGGTTCGCGCCAATTTTTGTTCAAACATATATGAAATTCAAAATGGGGCATAATGATAATTATTTTAAAATTTATATATTTTTTTCTTATGGAGATTTTTTATTCCATTTGGTGTGATCGATTAAAAAGCAGCACACAGTGCCATTTGTCATACCAACTATCAGGTATCTGAATTTTATTTTGTAAAAAATATAATATTTACATTTTTTTAAAAAAGGCATGAATAATAAACTAGAAAGTAGGAGCTTTCTTTCTTAAAATTGAAAATAAAAACTTGTTTTGAAGGGAAAAAGTCATGCATTTGATATCCAAAGTTGAATCATCCGGCGTTTGATAAGAGTACAATGGGTGAAAGTCATCGTATAAGTCATAAAATTCAACTTTATTGGTATGGGTTATTATGACCAACACTTCTTGCACGAAACTTTGGGAGAAGGTATCCATTAACTATAATAAAACAAAGATTCAAAGATTGTATATTAATTTAAAAAAATATTCAGGAGCGTAGCCAGGGATTTTATAGGGGGGGGGGGTAAGTTATTAATATATTAAAATAGTTTTTTGGAATATAAATCATTGTTTTAAAAATAGACAATTTCAAACAGATCCGGGCTAAGGTAAACCATAAAATAAAACTAATTAGCAAATAAGTTCAGTGTTTATTAAATTTTCGTGTTTTTATCCTTAGAGACTTGGAGGCCAGGTGCTAAGCCCTGATACATGGTCCGTATTTTGATCTTTTTAAATAAACCAGGGCCGGGCCGAAAACGAAATATTTTTAAATCGCTATTATTTATAAATATTAAAAATATTTTTTAAAAAAATCCGGGCCTGCAAATCGTCCCGCTGCAGGTCTCTTATATTCTTTGATGGCATGTAAATTATCAAATTTTTAAAAACCAACTATATAACAACCGTTTTATAATTATAATCCCTTTAAATAATCTTTAGAAAAAAGTTTTAATGCAAATTTTAAAATAATTTACTTTGATTTTTGCGTGGTAAAACGATTTGGTGTCAACTAAATACCCGTTTAATGAGAATACGTTTATTATATGACTGTCCAAACAGGTGATCACGTCTCCCTGAGAACTCAATATTATTTGACTTATGTTGTAGAGACTCTTAGAAATTTTTTCCTCTAATTTTCTCGTGACGACGGTAGTCAATTTGTAGTCATCATTTTTGATAGGTGCTATGCTGGATTCTATCATTGTCAATTTTTTTGTGGGAGGGAGGATGGCATGCATGATTTGACCATTAACGTTGTGAATTAGGCAAAGGTTGTCTTAATGAGATAAATTATAAATAATAGAATATGATTAAGGAAAAGCCGAATACATACCCCCCCCCCCTTCCTCTTCGATTCAGTAATATATATTTAAAATTTAAAAAAAAACATAAAATATAGTTTTAACCATGAAAAAGGCCCAAGTCTTAATCGTTCACCTATATATAGCATTAATAAACTTCGGAATTTTCCTCTCATCATTACATTGATAGCAGAGTTTATGTATTTTTTCCTGCCTTCATTCGAGATATACATGCTAGCAGATTGCTCAGAGCGGATTTTATTGGTTAGCTTCCATATCTATTTGTTTTGGCCCACAAGGTTTGAAAATCAATGTTCAAAAAGGCGTATTACCAGAGTTTATTAATGCGATAGGCTATCAATGTATTCCCTGATTAATTTTATAATTCTTTCTTTTAAAATTTAAGATAAGGTCAATTAATCACATATAATAATATAAAAAATATTGTCTTTAAGTTGTTAAAATTAATATAAAATTATTAAACATAATATTTGAAGAAAAAAAAGAGACCATAAATTATTACTTTTAGAGAGGCTAAGCACTATTCCCAACTCAGTAGACAAAGCGATGGATACAATTCCACTTTCATGGCCTATAAGAGTTACCAGAGGAAAAGGTGATTCTCCTTTAATAAATAATGCAATTAAAAAATATAATAATAATAATGTTATATGTAGTCACGTGATCACCACTTTCATCTTCCTCTACTCAATTATGGTAAAGTGCCAAAACCAGGACTGGTTTAGATTGTTCCACAATTCGAAGAAAAAAATTTCAAAAATGGTGGTCGCATTCAGATTGAGTTTAGAAACCAAATGAAATAAATTTATTTTATCCGCTAAATTGGTTGACCCTTCACTACTTAATTCTATCCATCCCATATTTATTTTTATCTTATAGATTATGATATTTTTTTAATATATTTTCTGGCAAAAGATTTAAATTTTCATTTATTGAACGAATGAAATAATATGATCTCCCCTAACTCGAAGAAACGGATGAAGCCATAGCACCCATCACGTGATTGCTGGCAGAATACCACCGCCATATTTTAACGGTGGCATCGCGTGACCCCGTTGCAAAATAAAAATCTTGCGCTACGTCGAAAGCGGGATTGGCGATGCTTTCGTTATTTCCCGGGAGATTGGAATTGGCGGTAATAAAGTTGTTGCTCAGCGAGGAAAAAGAATAGCCCGAGGAATTGTAAAAGTTATTGACGAAGGTGAAAGGAGAAATGGCGAGGCAGGTGACTATATCCCTGTGAGAGTAAACCGTTTGTATAACTTTACCTTCGAAGAATAAAATTATATTTCAAAATTTAAATAGAATTTTGTTTCTTATATTTATTAAAGGTGTAGATATATTTCGGTCACTGATATCGAATCATATGTATTTTTTTTAAAAAACTCTCTTTCACTAAAATAATTTAATTATGGATTTATGAATCATAATATTAAAAATTTTTTTTTGAATCCCTGATTAAGGAATCTGATATTATACTATAATTGCTCAACGCTAAGATAGATAGGACTTAGAAATTAGATTTACCTATTGGATAAGAATGAGATTGTAGGTTTATTTGATGTATAATTGAGCAGGGATCCAAACCGAAACGAATATCGGTTCGGATAAAAATAGCGGTTTAAGGTTCAGGTTCGGTGTTCGAACCTCTAAAATATTCAAACCTACATTCGAATTATGTTGGTTAAACGGCAATTTTAATAAAACCGGCAGGATAAAATAGAAATCCGGGTCCGACCCGGTACATCTCTATTTACTATATTAATTAATCATTGGTAAAGGTGGGCTTTAGTGATTATTAAAAATATAACTCAGGTCTAATTTCACCGCCATTCCATATGTAAAACTCAAAAGGCAACTACTAATTTTTGTTTCGACGGAAGTGGTGGTTTATCTTATAGAACCATTTTTTTTCAATTCTTTTAAGTTTTTTCGAAAATTTCTTTCCTTTAAATTTATTCTTAGTACAATATTAAAATAATTTTACCGTTATCACAATTTAGCACCCTAAAGCTTTTATCCCGAAATCCGGCTAAGACAAGATGACGACCATCGCGTGACGCTATGACGGAAGCCGGTCCGTATTTGTAACGAGGATCGACGTGATCGCGAACATCGCGTTGTATGCTGGCCGCCATTTTAGAGGAAACGGAGGTAGGTCCGGTGGATTGAGCTAATCAATTTTAATATTTATTTATAGAAAATCGCTATATTTAAAAAAAGTATTATGACTTACTTATAAAAAAAAATAGACCTCTCAAAATATTGTTCCCCAATTTATAAATAAAAGTTCCTCATCTGACCTAAGTAAAATACACAACAATCACGAAATTCATAATATGCAGGTAATCAATGCATTCTTTCAATCTTTTATGATCTATTTAAAAAAAAATAAACACTTGAATCCAATTTTCTATCAGAATGTTGGAGTTAGTTTAAACCAAAACTTAGGTTATACCGGTGCGCCGTCGGTTCACGTTGGCAATTTTCTCCACGCCAGAAAAGCCGCTAATTATGACGAGCCATACCACCGTGCTCTACTCTGATTTTTTTATGACGGCGGCGCGGCGCGTAAATTTTTTTAAAAATGAAACCTTTAAAACTTATAGAGCCTCATAGAAATGCAGAAAATGAGAGTTGAAGATAACGGTCAAATATCCAATTGGTATTTAGCTAAAATAGTTTGTATACAATTACTTTCAAGCAATGATTATGATAGCATAACAATCTAGAGCAAGAATGGCGCATTTTACTAGGCCAACATACTATACCGTGGCACTCTGAAACTTCTTAGATCTAATTAAGGTAGGAAAGTATTTTGTACACCTGCGATCAGTACACTTAACGAAACACTCTTTTCAACCGCTGAATAAATAAATGCTCAAAGAACCACTTTATTCTCCATCAATCTCGACAATTATAATTTAACTAAATTTGATTTCTAGTTTATTTATATTTTTTACATTATATTTTCATACGTAAATTTGTTTTAATAAAAATCGATAGATTACACATCGATAAATCTAACCTTAGCTAAATAGCAATTCCTTAGTCTATTTCGGAAAATGACAAATATATAAATTTATATAGGGATGGGACATAAAATGATTTAAGAATTAACTATATTACCAATGTTGGAACTAAGAATTGCCCAAATAAATTATATAAAAAAAATGTAATTTATAAATTAAATCCATTTTGTAAAATATGTAGCGCAGTTGACGCCAATTCATTAGGCGGTGGCCAATTCGGTCCGCTAAAAAACCGCCGCTGCGGATTGAGACTTCGGTGCACATGTCTAGTTATGGTATGTGCCTCTGACTTTAAATTTAAGCGAATTAAACTATGATTATCATAAATATATAAAATAATAATGCTCAGGCTTAATATTGAAACGATCTCTTTAATTCTTTCTGGGATTATCAAAAAACATTCTTCAAAATAAAAATCCTCTAAAACATTCATGTCTTTATATAACCAAATATTTACATACTGAAATAAAATATAATATTAAAAAAAATATATAATATATAGTTTTAATCTAATTTTATTGTAAATAAATCTTTATTACAATTTAAAAGATAATAAATGATATAGTATTGAAAATAATAGATATTTGATCATATATTAAAAATAATTAGGTTTTATATACAAATAATATTATTTATTTATATATTTTAAGAAGAATAAAAAAACTTAAAAAAGGATCTACGATGATCAGATTAGGCTGGGCTATCGTTTCTTTTTCGGCAAAGCTGGGAGGCATCAAATGAGCTTGAATTTCGATTTGCAAAAAAAAAATATGTAACAAAATTAAAGTAAATTTCTTGGGTAAGGTAAGGTAATACTATAAAATTAAAAGCTACAATTACTAATTAAATTTAAGATTCTATGAGTTTTAATATAAATAGTTTTCCCTTAACTTTTATAATCATGGTTCCACTTATTGACGGCAACGGTGAAATTGGAATTAATGAGCGTTAACAAATGTTGGTTATTGCTATTATACGAATTCGCCGAAGACGAAAAATCGAGCTTGGAAAGGGAAACGTGAATTATCGAAGCATTGAAGGGAAATTTTACGGTCGTGATTTCTTGGTCGGGTTTTATAGGCGTAAACATGCGAGGGCTCTTTATTTGTAGCGATAAAGAAAGTTATTTTTCATTTCATTTCATTTCAATTCTTTTTCTTTCTTTCTTTCTTTCTATTTATTTATTTCTTTTTTCTTTCTTTCTCTCCTTTTCCTCATACATACAAAAAATATGCAATTAAGGATCTATTGAAAAAGTAAAAAATAAATATACAATGTGCATGAGGGATTGGCGTGGGTGATGTGGTGAATCCAAAAGTTGAGACGGAGTTTGACCAAAGTTTTTGATCTGGTTTTCCAAGGCCTATATTTACATAAATTTTTAAAAATTCAATTTAATCAAAAAGGAAAAATGTAATTAAAAATAAATAGGACCAAAAATAATCTTGTTTTTGAATATAAAGATAAAAGAAATATAAAAGAATGAAATAAATAATACACGTTATTGAACGGTAGCTAATTGAAATAAAAAAAAGGCTACTTCTTTCAAAGGGATGTCCATCATATCGCGCAGATTAAAATTGTCCTCATAGGTTAGGTAATAGAATACGTTTAGGGCTTCCACCGCAGATGAACCTATTCATTTTATTTCAAAAAGGAGACAATTATTTTTCGTCAATCGGATTGGGGCGGTAAAAAAAAATGAAAATTTAAAATTTGGCCATATATTTGAGATGTAATAGAATACCTTCAAGGCATAATAAAAAGATAAAATGATATATTGTATTAAATTAAATTAATGTATTAAAAAATAAATAAATGTATTTTATATAAAAGGACGTAAAAAACATATAAAGACATTATTGAAATAAAATATTAGATTATTAAAATAAAATATTATATAATTACGACAATTTGTTAATAATTTTTTTTCATAAGTATCTTTAAAAAAAGTTTAATTGATAGTAAATATATAAATAATAAAAAATAATAATTTAAATTGAAAATTAATTTTACAGAAATATTATTTCATCCTAATAATAGGGTAAGCGGAAAATAATTCCCCGGGAAAAAATCCCTGTAAGATAATTCTCCTGTAAAAAAATCCTAGGAAAATAATTACCCGGGAAAAAATTCCCATAGAAAATTTATCCTCGGGAAAAATTACCCAATTTTTTTTTATAAATTATCAAAAATAACCTCGCCGCTTACGAAAATATTTCTAAAATATTATATTCAGTATTCTTTGAACGTTGAGTATTTATTCTAGGGAGGTTATTTCTTTAATCCACTTTTCATCTAGATAACAATAGATATTATAAAAACAGATCATGTTACCATATTATATTTACCACGAAGAAGGGGGGGGGGTATTCAACCCACACGTCACTAAAGTTAAAAAGATATATATAACATTAAATATGAATAGTAGAACACTATTCTGTTCTATACGTCTATATCAGTCTGAATCACGGACAAAAATAACAAAATGGAAATTTTTTATGTTAATACTATTGATTTAAAAATTGTATCTGATTAGAATTTTTTCAAAAAAGTATTGATCCAAATCACTGATTTGAAAATATTTTAAATATTAGAGGATTGGGCAACAACAGGATCTCCCACGAACGAGAGATTTCTTTTGCATGATAATGGCGGAGATTTAAATGAACGAATAATTATATTTGCTACCGATCATATGCTAAAAGATGCTAGCCGAGTCTTGGTATATAGTCAAAAATTTTAAATTGGCCCCTCATTTCCTTTTGTAGCTATATGCAATTAGGATACCCTTTAAAACCCTGTTTGTTAAGAAGAAAAAAGTATACAACGTACGAAGAAATTTTTAAGATTTTACTCGAAAAAGCCCAAGAACGGATTTTCCTTTTCCTAATTTTTTAGAAATCATTTTCGAGTATAATCACAAAATTGTTTATTATCCTTCAGTCACTGTTGAAAAACTAAGATATTTTGATTAAATAGTAAACATGAGCGTCAAGAAATTAAAAACAATTTTGTCATTATTGAAAATAAATAAAAACATTAATATTAAATAAAACCTATAGAATTGTTAATCTATCTATTTTTTCAACTTTTAGATAGAGATACCACCATCCAAGGATATTTCTATCATCTAACTCAATCTACCCATAAGAAGATTCAAGATTTAGGATTAGAAACATTCCAACGTTATGTTTTTTTGCAGCAATGATCGACAGATTAGAATTCTTACCTGTACATAATGTCAAACCGGTTAAAACAAAGAATTATTTGATAAAAAATATGTGAATGGAGAGTTATAAGAAATGGGAAAAATTTGTAAAGGCAAGTAGAGCCATTGTTTCATCCTGAAACATGGAAGTCGATTGCTGGGGAAAATAGAACAAATAATGTTATAATTCTATGTATATTTGTTTTAGTATGGTATCATACTTCTAGAGATATAAAATATAACTCAATTATCCAATATAAGGTAAAATATAGATTTTATTACTATTAACGAAATGTAGGCGTATTTCATAAATTATAATATTCCAGTTGTTCATTTATAATATTAAAATTCAATATAAATCTGTCCGTTAGTTGGCGTTAAACATTAAAAAGCATTAATATTGTTTCAAATATAAGTTTTCTTTTTTAGGAAAAAAAAAACAATTGATTAAAAATATACATTCTGAGACATTTACATGTGGTAGGGTATTAAGGAATTTTTATCGGGTGTAGTATGTGAGGCATGGAAGAATTTTAAAAATTTCATATCATCTAAAGCTAGAACCCGCTGACTAAGGTTATTAAAAAGACCATTTTTGAAAACGACCGTATTAAGATTTTAGCTATGTAAACCTGGAGATTTTACTTATAGATGATAGAAAAGTTTGGAACTCTTTTTCAATTTCGAGCCCTATTTTGGCTAAAATCTTAATCGGGTCGTTTTTATAAATTGATCCGATTCATGGTTTTTAACAATCCTAGCGGCGGCACTTGCGGGGTTTTTAAAAAAATATATATAACGTTCAATATTTATTAAAATTAACTATGAAAACTAAACAAAAGACTGATCTTATCGATTCTTAGACCGTAATTTCAGAATATTTGAAAATAATAAAGTATGAAATTAATTCCTTGAATTTTGTTTTTAATAATAGTTTAAAAGCATGCTCGGCTTCTTTCTTTCTTTCTACAAGCTATTTTTTAAAAAAAACAATAAAAATGTGGAAAAGATATGGATCTTTTTGAATTTGATAAATTATCTTGTTTCAATGAATGTAACAAGAGTATAAGTGGTAAATTATTTTTCAAATGGTGTTGATCTACTCCGATATTTTATTTATTTTGAAAATAAAATAAGAAAAATAATCGATTGAATTTCCAAAACAAATCTTGGGATAAAAATTACTAATTAAAAAAATATTCATTCCATTTACCCCCTCACCCAATTTATTTTTTCTAAACGTGTTTTAAAAAATATTCCAGGAAGTAAATTCATAATTTTATTCCCAAATATACCTCCCTTTTTTAATCAATAAATTAGCAGCTTCAACTGGCAATAAAATGATATTATTTGCTTCATTACAGTACCCATTACAAGAGTATTTGTGTTATTGGGTCAGAAAATATAAGCAATTGTGTTTTTTTAAAGTGGCCAGAAATTCGAGAATTACGGTTCATATATAGACAGACTGTTATTAAATTTTACAATTCGCGTTTTCTAACAAACGAAATATTCGAAAGGTGGTACCTATAATATCAATAACTAAATTCGAATAGGCTTCAAAGCTTCAGTAAAATCGTTATCAAAAAATTAATTATCTTTTCTACATAAAATCGCGATAAAATCGGAATAATTCCAAAATTATCGAAGCGCAAATTTAGGCGCAAATGTATGTAAAAAAATGTTAGAGATTTAAGCCAAATTCTGATGATTTGACAACCAACAACAAAACAGATACAAAAAAAACAATTATTAAGCAATGCAAAAGCTATTAAAATGTTAATTTTATTTTATAGAAAAATTCTTAAAAAAAATATATTGCTTTATGGCAACAGAATTCATTTTAACCATAAAAAAAGATATTGAGAAGTTATTGTTAATTTATTTATACTTTTCACATTTTTTCTCCTCTCCTTTCCTTCAGTCTTTTTTTTTGCATCCCTTGTATAAAAAAAAATATTTACCTCTCTGTTTATAACCGAAAATAAGGTCTATCCATCTATTAAGGCTACAGCTAACAATTTCCGATTCTAGGGCTTCGGCGTGAATCCTTACGAATTTATTGGGATCGTTCAAAGCCCATGGAGGTAATTCCACGTTACCCTTAACAACATGCAGAGATTCCTTATAATCATTTTGGAGAGGTCCACGATGGTCATTTTGGCAAAGCGGGTAAAGAGGGTAACCGTTTAGGTTACAAAGCATTTCAGGAAAGTAAAATAGTTCGGGGATCAGTTCCTGGCAAAAATAACGAATGAATGATTATATTTTGGGTTAAAAAAATATGAGATAGAAGGGAAATATTTTTAATTTATATAAAATACTTTTTGAATATTTAATTGAGGTACAATATAATTTATATTTAGAAAATTTGATCAATCAAATATGATGTTTTACTGATAAAAATAGCTGAATGCTAAACACGCAGAATCATATACTTATTTTACATTAAAAATAATTATATAAATCAATTTCAATATTTAAGTAATCGATATAATTGGCGACGAAGTAAAAAACCGTATCTTAAACGGTAAGAATTATTTAAATACAAAACAATGGCATATGAAAAATTATGCAATCAGTATTACGACGTGCATTTCGAGAAAAAGAAGAGAAATAACACTGAGAGAAGTAATATCGAGAAATCTAACCGGTCAACAAAGAGAGCGAATATAAAACTGAAAAGTAAGATTCAGATATTTTAAAGTATCCAAGACCCGGGAGTCTTAAGCATTCCGATTTAAATATAAAATAAGCATAAAGATCTTGTTCAAGTATTATTTGTGACCTTCCACAAGCAATGCTACAGAAATATTTGTTCGCTATACCTGCTCAAATTTATTACCATCTTATTTTCGGAAATAAAAATTTCCGACCTTAGTTTTGTTTGCACCCATATTTTCACTATAGAAAAGAAGGAAAGAAAATTTAGTTTTCAAAAAAGAAAAATATAACTATTTTCTCAATATATAATTTTGGGTGCTATATTCGATATTAACAATAAAAGTGTAAAAATATAATGTATATTTCTTTTCTTCAATATTTAAATTTCTATAAACGATGGTTCGTCTTCATTTACAAAAATTCTTTTTAAAATTACGTAAAACCATAATATTGGAGTGATAATGAAATGTACATTACATATTAAGTAAAAATAGGAATAAAATATAGAATATTATACGCAATGTTCAAACTTTAATATCGGAGGTATCCCTCTGGCAATTGTACCAGGCCGTTTTGATAGACCCGAAAATTCTGTTAGGATGATCAAACTTTCCACCGTGCAAATTTATGAAAAGGGTAGTGAATGGTTCCTTATTCATTCAATTTTAAAAATAAGTCAATTAATTATTTTCTATTTGATGATACCTGTACTTTCAGGGTAAATTGGGCTTAGGGTTAAGAATCTCATGATCAAGGATAATAAAAATAATTTTCCGATATCATTATTTAAACTTTAATATGGTCTCTCTTTCAGTTACAAGATTATGAATCATAATCATGCTATTTTTATTTGGAAAGAGGCCTTTCATTGGGAAATAATAAAAGACAAAAAACAAAAGATGATAGATATTAAAATATAATTTAATCCGCCTCTAATGTTCCCACGTTATTTCGAGTTTGAAAAATGTTTACAGATGTTTTTATAAAACCATTTTTTTCGACGTTTACAGATAGGAAGATTAAGACAAATTAAGCTAACGCGAGTTAGGGTTTGCAAATTACAACTGGGTTTAGATTTATACACAACTATAAGAGACATCATATCCTTATTGAAATGATGATAATCATGTCTTTTTGCCAATGTCATTATGATACTTATCTAGACAGAAGATTTATTTCAACATCCACTTTTAAGGCTAGTTGAATACAAATCAGCTGGTGACACGCCATTTTGGTTTCCCAAATAAAGTTATTTTTTATATGTAAAATAAAATTCTGATTATTTTTTTTAAAAAAAAGTTTTTATGTAATTTCAAATGTGAATTATTTATAAGGAAAACCAAAATGGAGTGGCACCAGTTAATTTGAATTGATGCACATTTATATGAATGAATCGATACTTTAGATGTATTATATTATGTCATAGTCCCTTGTATAAAATTTTAAATTTAGCAAGGTAAGTAAAATCATAGAAATTTGTTACTATTCGCAGTAGCCAATTGAGAACGAAGGCAGAGGTGGAATAATGGGTGCCGTAATGGAATGGCGGAATACTGTTGTGTTCCCAGGTTTTGTAACGTTCGACGAATATGTTTCTTCTGTCGTTGTTTATGGCGCCAATAGGCTAGTATTCCACCATAAAAAAAAGTAATCATTTTCATATAAAATATATATAAAAATTAGTACAGGATATTAAACTAATTATAATTTCTCTATTATTGTTTTTATTAAATATGGCAAAGGATAATTACTGTTTTTCTTTATCATTAAATTTTTACAATCGAACATTATATATTATATTCCAAACTAACGCCTACCTCTTATATTTGTTTCCCACAAATTTTATTAAAAGCGGAGGCTTAATAACGACACTCCGGGCTGGGTAGTGTATCTTTTACGGAACCTAAACAAGATAGAGGGATAGAAACAGGGCTAAATTTTACAAAAGGAGACCCTCTTTGCATATTTCAGAAAAAGCTAATTGGCTCATGTTCAAATATAAGTTTTACGCTTAGCATTTTCTTTTAAACATAATTTTAATCATTTTATACGCTAAGACCCGGAAAAGTTTTAAAGTATCAAATATCGCGAGGGAGATACATCTAAGATAACAAGGATGAAGATGAACAATGCTCGAGACTGTGGGATGCCAAAAGGGGGTCAGTAGATGAGTATCCCGACCTTATTAGAGTAAAGGCGGAAAAAGGTCATAAGCTTGACAAGAAAATCGGAACAAAAAAGAAATAAATATAAATAGAGCTAACTTTAGATAGGTCCCTGTAATTAATGGGGTCGTTTAGGTCCAGTTCTTTGGTTTCGTAATTGGAAAGGATCCAAGGGAAAACGGGGTATTGATTGAGATCTTGATAACTTCGGCCTTATTATAAAAAAATAAATGATAAATATATAAATAAATGAGAAATTTTGGTATTTAGAAAAATATATATTTAAAGAATAAACTAATTAAGATTTTAGTTAGGAGGAAGTTGTTCGGAAAGAAGTGAGTAAAGGTTGCGATGCAGAGTTGTTAAATGAGAGCTTGTGAAGGTTTATAGATACCGATATACTAAAGTGCTGCTAAATCACAACTAACTTTTGTCAACTCCAATACGGTCATAATAAGTGTTAGTCTAAAAAAAATAGACTTCGATCTCTGAGTTGAGCCGATACTTAATTTTTAAGGAAAAAACATTGCTGAAGCCATATTGGAGTTGGCCAAAGTTAGGTGATTTAAGAACACTATTCAAAATACATCAAAATTCGATGCAATATATTCATTTAAATTATTTTTTTTGAAAATAAAATAAATAAGGAAAATGTGAAACAAGGATTTTGCTACAAATAGGTAATAACCCCAACGACCACAAATTAATTTTTTTTAAAAAAATAATTAATTTAAACAATTACAGTAACCTTCCCTCCCGATTATGAAATGTATTAAATCCCTATATTCCTCAAGAATAAAAAATATTCCGTTTGGATACTATTCATATGATCACAATTCTTTTCCGAGAACCAGGAATGTGCTAGAAATAATATAAATTTTTTTTTAAATCGTCGTGATACTTGTTTGGCAGTTTAAAAATTTTTCAGAATTTCGAATATTTATTTAAATTTTTCTTTAATTAAAAATAAATTTAATACCAGCTATGGTGTTCAAAAACATGAGGTAATCGAAGTTAGAAATTTCTCTTTGCATCCACTTTTCGGTCATGTTGGAAGCCTTGAAGAGTTGCTTGGGGGACATGAGGGAAGATTTCCTTTAATTGGGATTTTTTAAAAAAAAAACAAATGATATAAAAGTATAGTAAAAAAATATTCTATAATTGATAATCATGTGATATTAATGTTAGTTGTTTTTTTTATATTGTGTATTTAAACAAATCGTATTATCTGGCTGTTTTTATAGTTAGTTTTTTAGGAAGCACTGGTAGATTTTTTTCCTGTAAATGATCTAAATCTTCTCTCGATAAGTACATATAGGAATAGGCAGTAGTATTTTTCATATACATATTATCTTGTGATACGTTGGTATTTATGAGTGATAATTTTAATTAAAAATCATATTTGGTAGATTGTGTGAGAGATATGCAGAGTCCATCATTAAATTTAACGGTCTTCTCTGATGGATCGAAAGGTCCATTAAAAAATATTAAAGGGCCAAGTCCGGTTTCAAACGCGTTGCATACTCTAGTTCGTAAATCCCATTTTTTTCCCTTCTGGACATTTATCTCCAAGAATTAAACTAGCTAACAGCTGTTGCTGTTCAAGGGGCGCATTAGAAAGTTTTTTTTAAGTCTCAATCAAAAAAATCTTGCCTCTCTATAACACCCATAAAGGCATCAATTTCATAAGCAATTTTCTCATATAAGTGAATTTGACTTGTAATGTTACACGAGGCGAGTACTAACTAACTACCACTCCTGGCTAGTATTCTTAAACAGCTCGATTTATAAAAACGGCTAAAGATTTTTTTCATAGATGGCAGAAAGATTTTCGACATCTATTAAGGCCATCTCGAGGCTTGAGGAATATTATTTTGGCGAAATTCTAAATTTAAAATAGGCGAAACTAGTACTGGCTCCCAAGCACAAAATTATTAATAAAAAAGGTATACATCCTGGCAAAAATATCGACAAATGCAAAAATAATACATGATTTTTTTTAAACAAAATAATTTTTTTCCCTCTAATATCTTAATTATTAATTCGCACAAATTATTATTTGCAATGTTATTTTAAAATTTTGTGGCCACCAATCTTAAAGCTTTTACACTCGATTGAATTATACTTTTAATGCTCTGTTTTTTTTATATATAAAAAAATCATATCTGATAGACCTCATTCACAACAACAAATTTATAATATTTGAATTCGTTTTTTTATATGTAGAATATAAATAATATTGTAATCGTATATTAAACCGTAATTAATTGAGGTAGGATTATAAAAATACGAAAATACAATAGATAAATAACCTCGATTTAGGTATGCCGTACTTGGGTCCGCAACCAACTTTTGGCAAGAGACTAACTATTTTTTTGACTATATTTCTATCTGGGAAGGAAAACATGACGGACGCTTTCGGGGGTAATGGAAGTTTAACGTAATATTATATTTGTTTAGAGTATAAGTTTTCAAAAAACAATCAATTTATCGATGACTAATCGCACTTATAAAATTATGTGATTTGGTTATTGGGTAATTAATTTTAACTGGATAAAATAAAGAGGTTGCTGCCTCTCTCGGGGAGTTTATTATTTTTTATTATGTAATTTTTTTATATTCCAAAAAAATTTAAAATGCAAAGTTTCATCTGCCAAAAATATGCCTTACCCCTAGCCTACCCCCTTTAAAAAATTTGTAAGCAAAATTCTCTTACCCCCCCCCCCCCCCCCATTTTATATATTAATGCTATATACAAATTTTATAAAAAAATTATTTTTAAATATCTTTAATAAAAAAAGATATATTAATTTAAAAACAAAAATAAAATTAACCAATCAGAAAAAGAAACAATCCAATATTAATATTAAAAAAAAACAGGCTCCTCGAGAGAAGCAGCAACCAAAAAATATTTCGCTTCCTAAAAACACTCAAAAATTGGCACTTTAGGTTTTTTAAAAAAAAGTTCATTTTTTTTTCGGTATTTGTTTCCCAGCTTCTTATTATTAGTATAATATTATAATATAATCTGGTAGGTGTCTTATACTGTTAGATGTCAGAAAAATTTCCAAGGAATTATTTTGCAGCAGGTAACGCCTCGAGAAAATGGCCGTGATGTCGCAAAAATTCCATTTGACGCACCCGCCTCCTACATTGGTGTCCAAGTATTTCAAAATCTTTTTATTTTCATATGTTGTATTTTTTAAATGTTAATGATGCAACATTATAAAGTATTTTCTTTCAGTATTAAAAAAAAAAGATACCTTCCACTTGATTAAATTTTATTTAGGCTGTGTCTAAATATAAAATTCGATTCGCAAACTTTTAAACTTTATAGAAAAAGAAGAATTAACCTTTTTTTTTTATTAAATATAAATAAAAACTTCTGAAAGTTTTCAAACTTTTCGAATTTTTTAGAAAAGATTTCGGACAGCCTTATATATTAAATATTTTTTTTACAAACTTCAGGATCGATCATTTGATTTTTATGGATGGATTCATCGACTTCGAAGAAAAACATGTTTTTGGAGAGCAAAATGTTTCCGTGGACCGAAACGCCCATCGTGACGATCTCGCATTTGGTTGTGAAAGATACGTCTGAATTAATGAATTTATATGATACAATGTATTATTTATATCCAATTCCAGAGACCTGAAGAGTTATAATTATGAATGATAAAACGTCCTTCTGAGACGAACGCCGTCCCGATCAAAAATATCGTATGCGGGACGCGTCACCGTCATAGAATTAGATCAAGTTTAAGATAAAAAAGTGTTTTACTACCTAACATCTTTTGAAAAAAAAGTATTAATTATTAAATATAATATATTTTTCGCGAGCATGGAAGAAGAAATTACTGAGAAAGAACATATGAAAATCGAAGAAAAAAAAATAATAAGGCCACCAATATTCAAAAGTGGTTTATAAATCTAATTTTAAAATAAATTCAAACGAGACAGAGAAATGCGTTCGCTGTCTATTTATTTCTATGACATACAAAATTGTGATTTTTTGTTTAATAAATGCCATTTTTTTTCTTTTAGAATCTTATATTAACATATTTTTTTCGGAATTTGTATGAATGAATATAAAAACAAAATATGTTATATTAAAAAAATTAAAGGGATGGGGAAGCATCCCCGCCAATAAAATGATTAAAGACCAGCCGGGCGTTTGATCATCACTAGGTTACAATTTACGTGCTTGCACAATTTAATTCTCCAATTAGTATTTTGTTTCTTGAAACCAAGTTGACTATATATTTTCCTTAAGCCCGGTTAAAAATTTTATTATTTAGTGTTTTGGATTCGGCTGGCCTCTAATTCAAAATTAGTGCTGAGAATTATAATGTCATATGTCTATTTTATGTTCAGGAGAGCATTTAAAAAAATATATATTTCTTGCATTTTAAATAGGAAATCAATCACAATTTAATAATGCTAATAAGGATTTTTTTAAGTTATATTTGAACATTAAAAAAGTATATATATATAGAACACTATAATACTTAACAGACGGTATAGCGAGATTTAGGTGGAGGATAGATGAAAAAAAAGCATTATTATATTATTCAGTTATACCACTCTCGACTAACAACGCCTCCATGATGTCCTTTTCTTCCAATCCGGGGGTAATGATGTCACTGACGCTAATAGTATCGTCGAATGAGTCCCTGCTCTCGGTGAGTTTGGCCCGGTACAGTTTCAGCTTCTCGACGGCCGCTTGATTCATATTTAGATTAGGGTCATTGCTTGTTTGTGTCTTATAGTTTTCTGCTGATCCTTTAGTGTTATCGTCCTTTTCCGCTTGGGGCTCCGATGTAGGGTTAGAAGAGTGCGGGGGTTCGTTGTCATCTATTTTTAAAATTATTTATATGTTAGTTTATTTTCTCAAAATATTATAATTAATCATCGGGATGATAAAGAAAAAAGAAGCTGCACAATGGTCCATCTTATGAAGTATATACATTTAATTAGTTTTCATGTGCTGTTTTGGAAAACTCTATTAAGAAGGTTATATAAGGTTCAATTAGTGTTGTTAAACGACTCGTTTTGAGCCGATTTTCAAAAACGGCTAACTCGATATTTTAGCCAGAAAAATATTGCCTAAGCCATGAGATTTGGCCAGTTGATTTCAAAAACTTTGTTCCTTCTACAAGCAAAATCATCAGGCTTGCGAAATATTATTCTGGATGAAATATTGAGTTAGCCGTTTTTAAAAATCGGCTCAAAACGAGCCGTTTAACAACACTATTGATTTTCTCTTTTATCAGAGAATCTAAAAAGGAAATTCAGCACAATTTTAGTAAAGTAAATCGGACGAGGTGTACACGCAAACAATACTTTAATATGGGTACATCACAGACCGGCAGAGGTATCCATTTATTAGGTTGATAATAAAACTTAGTTTTCTCTAGCCTACCCTAATCTTTCAGGTAAGGACTGGAGGACGGGAATCGAACTAACTAACAGCTGCACCACAATTGACATCTTTCAAACTCCAAGTCATTAAAAAATGATTTATTCATGGTGTTAAATATTATTTTACATTTTTGCCCTTAGAGTTATTTTTCCTTATTTTTATATGAATGGTTATTTGTTTTATATCCCACTTTAATGAGAAATATATGCATAATAATACTCCAATCACTACGAACGGAAGTTTTAACAGAAAATACATCGAGGCCACACTAGTATCATACAAATAAAATAATAAGCCCGGGCTTATGTATGGCGGCTATGTATTAATAAAAAAATATATATTCTTAATTACGAATTATGCCATCAGTAATATATATAATTAAAAGCAATGAAAGTAGTAGAAAAAATACACATGGACTTAGCGGGGCCCATATTAAATAAATCATGGAAAATTATAATTGAATCCTTTTCAAGATGGGTCCACGTCACAAGCCTTCAAAATCTCCAAACAGAGTAGTTAAGGTATTAAATAATATATTTAAATATACAGGGTTTCTGTACACGATTGCGTCAGACAACGGTATTCAAGTTACCAACGATTATTTTAAATCAAATCTATGGTACTGCCGAAAGATCCATACGCACATTCAAAAACTCGATACAATGTAATAATCCAAATGAAATATATGAACAAATAACGAATTTTTTAAATAATTACAACACCAAGCACACCAGTACTAAAATACCCACAGCCATATTATTTTTAGGCCGCAAGTTGCGAAACCATCTAAATCGCCTGCAAGAACGATATCCACCTGAAACAGCCCTAAATTAGCCCCCCCCCCCCAAAAAAAAAGTATGAGTATACACCCATAAGAAATCTAGATGGAAAATAAAAAAAAACCAATCGAAATCTTATATATCAAGTAAACACCAAACAAGGATTGCAAACATATCACGCTACAAACCAGAAAAAGAAAATCACCTATCTAAAAACATTTACTTAAATTTTTTTTTATATATAATAAATTTATTTAAACATCATAATATATAATTTTGCCTATTTAGGGAGGGAGGAGCGTGTTAGTTTTTTTCATAGCATAAGGCAGTTCTGAATCCTACCATAATATATATAGGCCTTAAAAATAGTTTGCTCATTAAAGGTTTTCTATTATCTTTTATAATCTCAAAACTATGAATATCATCTAACCTTACTTGTGTTGTGGGGTCTAGTAAAATTCAGTTATTTTATTTTACTGAGATATCAATTTAGCAGCTTTAATTATTTATATTATATCGAACCGTATGCGAAGGCGTTGTCGGCAGCTTCCGAATGGCAAGTACCGACAGGGTTCACCATCAACTTTTTCCTTCTTCGGCAATCGTCCTCCCAAAAGTCGAGCTTCCAATAAACCTTTTTGCCCCTAAATTATTTTTAATGTATGCAAGAAAAATTAGACTGTTATTGGTAATTATTGTTAATAGATTGAATATATGTTTAATTTAATTGGAAAATTCTAAGGGTTGTGATTTTATCAACTTAATTTAGAATCATGAAAATACTCATAGTTAAAATAACATATTATATGTGATTTTTAAAATTGGTAAAAAAAAATGTCAAATTGAAGATTTTAAGTATTATAATTAGGGGTTTACCGATACCACTTTTTGGAGGCCGATCTGATCCGATATTCCAGATATTAAATTGATATCGGCCGATAACCGATCCGATATCATATCTAATTTTGTATTCTGTAAAGATACCAATGGTTTTAATTTGTAATATACTTTTTATTAGTATAACATCTATAATTTAATTATACCATAACTTATATCATTTAAATATATTATAATGATCAGTTATAGTTTATATTCAATTCTATTGCCTAAAAGTATATAAAATATTTTTATTATAAATCACTTTTATATAATAAGTAACAACATTAATCTATATACATAATAAGTAGTGTTGTGAAGTTCGTTTTTTTGAAAAAAGGTGATGAACGGCGTTCCTTTTTTTTTGACGAACTTTGAACGTGAACGCGTTCCTTTTCTTTGATGAACGCGTTCAATTTTACGTTCGTTCAATTTTAAAAATACTTTATATTTTTATTTATTTGAAAAATTAATATTAATCAGCATTTTTTAACAAAAAAGTCTTATATTTTTATTTATTTGAAAAATTAATATTTAATCAAATTTTTTAACAAAAAAGTCTTATATTTTTTAATCAGCTGTTTTTACTTTTTCCTCTTTCATATTGCAATTAACGTACCATAACGTGCTACTGCTAGAGAAGATAAGATTAAAGTTTATTAATTGCATGGATATAAATATTTCATCATCAGATTCTGAAAATCAAAATTCAATATTAGATGAATTAGAATTACCATGGCCCAAATATCAAAAATATTTCACTGTTTTAAAATCAAAAGATAATTCAATAGTTTTTAGTATAGCTAACGCTGTATTAACTGCCAAGCGTTCATGCCTATCAGATGAAAATTTTGAAAAGCAATTATTATTAAAAATTAATAAGAAAAATTTTTTATAAATTTATTTTTTTATCGCTCTATTATATTGTATTTATAATTATATTATCAAAATAAAACTATTATTTTTTATCATGGCTAATATATTGTGTTGAAAAATATAAGGCATTTATTTATATTAAATTAAATTTAAAAAAAAATTTATCATAAAATTTTGAACGCATGAACGCGTTCATGAACTTGAACGCGTTCCTTTTTTTGAATTTGAACGTGAGCGCGTTCGATTTTTGTCAATGAACGTTGAACGCGTTCTATTTTTTTAAAAATGTTTACAGCACTAATAATAAGTAATAAACAAATATATTATGAAATTTAAATAAATATTTAAAATAATATTTAACATTAATATATCGAAGATTTCTTTTTAGAAATATCAAAATTTCCAATTTATCAGAAATCAGCCTGCGGCGATGGTAACTGTCAATATCATCAGCTTCACTAAAAACAGATTCTGAAGAGATTATCGCACATTTTTATAAATAGAATGCGCAAAAAATAACAATATGGCATTAATTAATTATTATTATCAAAAAATATGAATTTCGATTTTATTTATAAAAATAAATGATTTTAGATATAACTTTTTTTAAAAAATTTATAACCTTTTATTTTTGTTAAGGACGCCATTTTATATCGGATCGGATTGGCAAATTTTATAATTTTGGCCGATAACCGATATTTATAATAGGTGAAATATCGGCCCGATCCGATCTGATAAAAAATATCGGTACATCCCTAATTAGAATATATATTATAAGGATGATCCCCATCTTTCTCAAAATTGCAAGACGCATAAAAATAATTTGTTTGTATATCAAAAACACGAATTTATAAAAAATTTCCTAATTTTAAAATTTAAATTTTTTCGTACGAATGATAATGAAGCACAAATATTTAGACAATAATAGAAGACCGATATTCAAATAGGATAAAGAAAAAATATTTTATCCCGTTTCAGGTAGAGAGAGAAAAAAAAGAGGGAATGCATGTAATAGATCGAAGATATGTTAGTCTAAATTTACATATGATGTTATTAATATAATTAGTTGTTATAATTATAAGATTGTGTCTCCCACTTCAATAAATTTTACAGGAGCGCCATTTTTTATTTAAAAAAAGAGACCAACTTATAGGGTTTGGTTCTAATTTAAATTTAAAAAAAAACACTTTTTTAAAATATTTTCGAAATATGTTATTTTTTTTGTATCTCGGTAAACAAACAGTAAAATAACTATATTTTATTAATTTAGGAATTAGAACCCTATAATACTTGAACTCTGATGCATCAAGTTACATTTAACATATGTTACTTCCTTCTTTTGATATTAATGAAGATGGACAAATATTTTCACGTAGTGATATATCTGAGAAATATCGGGGATTGGTAGCCATTTTAGCTTAGTAGCCATCTTTTAATTATATAGAGCTTCTAATAAGATTCTCAAATCCATATTCTTAAAAAAAAGCTAGCATTTTCTTCGAGAGAATGTTTTACAACTTTTGGAAAAAAGGATGAATAAAATAAGTTCCACGTGACTTCGTTTATTTCTAAAATGTTAAAATGATCTTAACGTATGAAACTACCTAGTCCCCGAATCTTCAAAAGAAGGGTCGTAATCAAGAAAAACATTCTGATTTCCTAAACGAACGTTCGTGGTTCCATAGAGCAAATGTCGATTCCTGGTGATTTGATTCAAAATCTTGAGCGCGCTGGCGTACTCCCTGCACTTGAGCTTGGAGTTTTTAAGGTTTTTGTTGTTAGAATTCGATGATGAAATGCTAGATAATTTTTTTGTTTGATTATTAAAATTATTAGCAAAAATATAAAATTTAGAATAAAAATAACAAAAATGGAGAAAGAATATAAATAATAAGAAGGATGTGTTAAAATGGCATATGAAACTCCTCTCGATAATTTCCATGTTGACTCTTTGTTATAAATGATAAAACTCGAGTGTTTGCCCTGTAAAGAGCGTAAATTTTAAGCCTATAGAATGAAGAAGAGCTAGACTCTTCGGATCAAAGTGATCAAAGACGTTATTTACAATCGAGATAAAAAGATTATGAGATAGATCGGAATTATTTGATTTCTACTACATGTTCTACCTCAATTTATGAAGAGCAACTTATTAGTCAAAGCTTAATTTTTTATTTTCACTCCTAAGTTTGATCCAATCATTAAAATAGACCGATTCAATATTTTAGCCAGAAAAATATTGCCTAAACCTTGAAATTTCGCTAATATGTCCGAACCTTTGTTCCATCTACGAGGAAAATCTTAAGGCTTGCGTAATATTTTTCCCAGATAAAATATTGAATTGGCCCTTTTTATAAATCGGAAAATATATATGTTTAACAACACTACTCCTAAGATACACCTGATTTGTAAAATATTTAGAATGAATGCTATTGAAAGTTTAATTTATTCTAATTTTTACGAAATAAACTTACATACCTATTCTATTCGATCATTAATTTGGGTAATTTACTAGTTATAAAAAAAAATAATTTTTACAAAAAATAGTCAGAAATTAGAGTTTGAAATTGAAGCCCCTTATGGAATTTGGCAACAAAACAATTATTTTTAAACCATGAACCCTACTTTAAAATCCATATTTTTTAGACCATTTTGTATTAAACTTTTTACTATCCAAAGATTTCTTCCGTTCAGAATTATATTATAAATATTATGATCTCAAATATATCATAAACTAAACTCGGTAGATTGATTGCTATCGTGATAAGCCAATTGCATTTGCGCGCATAGCTCTTCGAAAAGCGAATGGGTCTTGAGTTGCTGGGCCCGGCTTTTGTTGAGGATAAAATCGGCCTCGTTGCTCACGCGTATAACATGGTCTCGCATAGCGTGACTTAGTATTCTTTTAACAATCAAGAAAAAATACTATAATTATATCATTTCTTTTTATTGTCTTTTATTTCTTCCATTTCAATTATATTCTCCCTTTTATCATTATTTTTTCATATAAGATATGTATCATAAACATGTTTGAAACCTTCCTTCGTTGATCAACTCAAGGAAATTTGAACCGGCGTGTTTTTGCAAGGAATTCTGCCATTCCTGGGAACATAGCATCATGATGAATTCTATCACGCAATTATCTTTCAGGGTAGCTAAACCTGATTAAAAAAAATACAAAGAAACTCAAATTATTAGATTATTTTTTAAAATATTGTATTGTGACAATAAAATTAAGTTGATATAATTCGATGATGTAAATAAATAATGGGGCCAGTTTGAATGATATCTACTGATACTCCCACTTTTATAAGGAAGGAGAGGTAGATTTCAACCGAGTACATTGGCATCTATGAATTTTGTACTTGTCGCTTTATTAAACTAATAATAAACAAAGTATGCCGAAAAATCTTGGTATAAAGCACAAAGCTTTTCTAAATTAAATAAAAGAAAATGGCGGGATAATATATAAAAAAATAAAAACAATAGCGAACGACAATGAATATATAACAGTAAAATTGGAATATATATATATATATATATAATAATGTGCGGGATGAATTCGTTCTAGTTATATGTCGCTAGTGTGGAGTTTTTCGGCTTAGAGTTCGTCAGAACGTAAAGTTAAGTCGTGTAATGGTCATGTTGAGGAAGGATCGGATAGTCCAGAAAGAAGGGAGGTCGTTTCGATGGTTTCGGAACATAATAGGGAGATATCCTGGTTGACGGTGGCAGGAGTGGGTTGTTGGTAGAACTGAAACTGGGCAAATCTATCACCAACCCATGACTTTGATGGTTCGTCAGCAGGGTTCTCCTCAGTAGAGATCCTTTTGATATTCTGTGATACAGCAGTGAAATGAGCTAACCTAATTTTTAAAAGTATCTGAGTCAACAAAATTTCGATGGAGGCAATCTGGAGCCACTTTTTCTAAATATGTAGTGCGTGACAGTGGAATCGATGAAGACCGTGAGTGGAGACCCCTCTTTATCGATAGCAAAAAGGGCTCCTACTCCAGCATCGAGGATTTACTTCAGGTTGTTATGGCGCGGAGAAGAATATTGAACGAGAGGATGGCTTCTTGGCAAGAAACTGATATACTGTCATAGCCTTAAAATGATAATCCAATATGGCTATCTAAAGCATCGGTGTATACGATATGATTGATGTAGATATGGAAAACTGAAGCGCGTTGATGATCAGTTGAGCCTTCTTGAAAGCAAAGTATATATCGACCAATGGTAAGAGGATCTAGTTCATCGTGACGTAGAATGGTGAAAGCCACGCTCTCAAGCGACAATCGCGCTCGCCTTGACAAATGTCTAGACGCTTTTCGTCGACACGCTTACCAACACTTAGAAATCGGACGTATATCTTTGCCGTCAGATATAAGATGTGGTAACCCACTTTGCCACTATTACTGCAATGTCTCGGTTACATCACGATGAACGATACACTGCCTACCCCAGTGGTCGATACATACCTTGCTTTTAAGAAAGATCAACTGATCTGATTATCAACGTTAAAAATTAACAGAATATGACATAGCTCTTAGATATCACAGCAATCACGTCGCTTACACCTATGCTTCGGATAACCATATAGGATTATCATTTTAGGGCTATGACAATATGTCAGTTTCTTACCAGGAAGCTATCCGCTTGTTCAATATTCCTCTCTACACCATAACTCTATCAACGCGAAGGAAATCCTCGCTGCTGGATTAGGAGCACTTTTTGCCATAGCTAAAGAAGGGTTTACACCCACGATCTTCACCAATTCCACCTTCACATACTACGTATTTAGAAAAGGTGGCTCCAGATCGCCCTCCATTGAAATTTTGTAAAAATTGGTTTACCTTATTTCACTGCAGTATCAGAGAATATCAAATGGATCCGTATCGAAAAGAACCCTGCTGACGAACTATCAAGTCCTGGTGGGTTGATGATAGATTTTCTCAGATTCTGTTCGACCAACAAACCACTCCTGTCTTTGATTTGGCTCTGAAACCAAAGGGCCTCTCTTCTATCCGGGCTATCCGATCCTTCTACTTCAACTTGGCCATTATGCGACTACGTTCTGACGAACTCTAAGCCGAAAAACTCTATACTAACGATATATAACTAGAATAAATTCATCCCCAGATATTATTATTATGTATATAATGTAATTTTACTGTTATATTCATTGTCGTTCACTATTGTTTATATTTGTCTATATTATTCAGCCATTTTCTTTTATTCATTTGTACTTTTAAGCAAAATACTGGTCTTTATACTTTGTTATTATTAGTTTAATAAAGGGATGAGTACAAAAGCCATAAAGGCCAATGTATTCAGCTAAAATCTACCTCTCCTTTCTTATATAGGTGGGTATCAGAATGGTAAGTGTTACGGCCAACCCACGAGTCAGACTTTACAACTCTCGAATGTAAAGTATAAACTGAGCCATACTTGAATATCATCGTAAAACCGTACAAACCCATCATTTTTTTGGAGAGAGGGAGGAGTGGGGGATGACAATTTATTTAATATAATTAGAAGGTGTGAGAATTTCTGCAATATTAAAAAAAGTTTTGATATGTTAGAATGGGAGAGGGGGGATTATTATATAAATTTAATCTATATTTTAAAAATCAATCAAGATATTTTGGAGGGCTAAATATAGTATAAGTTATGATTTGATCTAACAAATAGGCCGTGGCCATGAGTGTAAGAAAGCTTTTTATAAGTTATTCTCCTATGTCTTACGACATTAATACTAGCCTAAACTCAGGATTCATTCATTAAAATGAATTATAAAATGTGTAACATTAAAAAGCTATTGAAAGATATTCAGACGAAAAATGCGAAAGTTAGACAAGCTTTTCAATGGCGTCTACTACCTCCAATGACATTGACTACAGCTGACTTTAATGTATGTAAACATTTAATAAATGCATTTGACAAGAGATAACTATTTAAAAGAGTACCGTTATTAATAAAACAAATGTACGAAAGAAAGAATTTGTTTTATATAATAAGTAAAAATTTATGTACGCCTTAGCCCATATCTGTGTTTTGATAGGATCAAGCAAAGGCTATAAAATATTAGGAAAAAATTAAATATAAATATTTTTAAAATGGGTAATCAACGTTGTTGTATAAATAAAGATATTCGTTTTTTAAAAATAGGAGGTAGGATAACACACCATTTTTTTCCCACCTAATCTCTCAAGAGTTTAACCCATTTTGTGATAAGATGAGTCGAGAGAGCAGAGATAAACTAACTTTATTCATGATCAGGTTTTATTCTCAAAAGAAAAAAAAATATCATAAGTTCAAACCGTTAGCATTTTTCAGTAACTCGTGACCCTGGGTCCCCAGAAACGTTTTGGTCATGAAGGGTAAAAAATCATTCAGAACTTCTTTCAGGAGATAAGCGCTGCCACTCAGGACTCTTTCTATCTTTTTGGTTATGTAATCGGTCTTCTCAGATACTTTTAGGGTAAAATGAAAAGAGAAGTTAATATGACTGGCATAACAAATATTCGGGTGCGGAGCAAAAAAAAATTATTTTTTTTAAAAATTAAGTTTTTGGTTAGTTTTTTGAAATATATTAAGTTTGTGACTCATGTGTATTGTGATTGTTACTATTAGTGGCTAACTCAACATTATAGTCAGGAAAATAATGCCTAAGCTTCGAGATTTCGACAATATATGTCTATACCTTTGTTCTTTCTATGAGCAAAATCTTCAGGCTTGCATATTATTTTTCCTAATAAAATATTGAATTAGCCGTTTTTAAAAATCGGCTCAAAATGAGCCGTTTAACAACACTAGTTACTATAAATTAAAAGGTTTTTTGCTCTGAGCTCTATAGTTATAACATTAGAATTTTTGATAAATCAATGTTAATAATTAGCCAAGAGTAAAAAATAAATTGATCTTTATACCGCTGGTAGTGTGCGAGTGTTCTCGGGGGGTAAAATGATTCGCTTCGTTGAATCGATTACCGTATTGATTATTATCGTCGACAATATTCGCTTGATTAAAATGGCCAACATTTTCGTATTGATCGACCATAGATTCGTGATTGGGAAGATGGATTCGATCCGTTCCCAAATCAAAATCAACGTTTTTGCCTCTCATAGTCGCATCTTCTGAGGCTCTGTTGTTCGTTTCAATAGTCGATCGTTCTTTAATGAAATATTTATTTTTATAATTAAATATTTTGCATTTTTTTTTCTAGTAAATAAATAATTAAAATTTATATTGATTGATGACAATTTTATAAATTTCTTTTTGTAGAAAATATTATTATATTATAATATTCAGCTATGTATATTGAATGCATATAGAAAGAAGACAATTTGCAAAAAAATTATGAATGAAAACGAGAACTGCACTCGGGTGGAGTTAAGGGGAGACGGCTTTTGGCCAACGAAAGTGGAATTAACTATGCTAAAAAAATCATTATATACTACAATGAAACTCACGATACCTTTTACTCAACCTAATTACCAGGTAAAAAAGGCATAAATATCACAGATCTGCAGAAGTCTTTTAGGTCAGCTCCGGATTTTTATAGCTTAGCCCAAAAATTTCAATAATTTGAATAAGTTTGGCAAAGAGAAATTGAAAATTTGAACAATTAAATACTCCATTATATAATTTTTTTTTAAAACTGATTGATAATTATGAAAAAATATTTTTATATCGGTCCAATCTGGATATTTAAAAACCTAAAGTTTTATCTCAGATAAATATAGACACTTCTAGAAAATCTTATTAACCTCTCGAATTGGGCCAATAATTATATTTTCGTGCAAGAACTGCCTATTAAAATAATTATGTTATAAATACTTTCAATATAATTGGCAGAACCAGCATACTCTCCGTCGCCGTAATCCATATCCTGTTCCATACCGTTGTCGATATTGTCATTCAACTCGTTATCCAAACTATTGGGCGAATCGAGCGCGACGGGTTGGAGCCGCATCTCGATTATTTGGCCTTCCTTGATACTTTCCAGGTCTTCCTCGTCCTCTTCCTCATTTTCGGAACTAATGGTTACAGAGTGGGGCAAAGGTTTTTGATGGGACCGAGCTTGGGAAAGAACAAATAAAAAAAAACATATTTAAAGAAAATGGTTTTAAAATATATATCAGCATGAAAGTTTTAGATAACATTCATTCACTATTCGCTATAAAATAGAAATGTTATTTCGGTCAAAATATAGCAATACTGGAAAAAAAAACAATTTTAATTTAGTCAAAATAAAAAAGGTCATCGATAATAAACTCACTTTCAAAATAATATAAAATATTCACTGGGAAACTACTTCAGCTTGAAAATAAAATCGATATCTAAACTTGTAATGTTATCAAATTTTGTTATTTTTTTTTAAAAATTAGATATTTTTCACAGCACATGCCATAAAATATGTGAATACATTCGGCGAAGAACATTAATGTCTTTCGGTTAAAGTTTTTAAGGTGAATGAAATATAGGTGTATAAAACGAGCATTGTTGCTTTAGATTTCAAAAGAGAAAAAAAGAAATATATTAGACGCAATGTCTACAGAAAACAAAATGTCGAAAAGTACCCAAAGAAGTTAGAAATTTTTTTTTAATTTTATTATTCTTTTCCCAAACCGGCGTTATTAGTATTGTCCGAATTGTTCCAAGGGTAGTGCTGTGCCAGTCTACCATTATCATTGTTGGAAATATTCGTTTGATCAGGGATCTTGCGTGACGAGGCGTTTAAATGTGGAGGATGATGAGCAGAGAAATTACCGTGCTGGTTATTATCGTAATTGTTTAGAGGTTCCAGCAAGTCCCTGTACTTGGAGACGGTGAGAACGGAAACGAAATACATTACACACAAGGCTAAGAACTGGGATTGTTTCGTTTCTTCCTTTTTTTTCCCGTATTAATCGTTTTATTTAAAAATTAAATATTCTTTTTTTCCTTCAATCATTAATTAACTTATTTTTTTTCCCCCTCTTTTCTAAAATTATTCGCTCAATTTTTCAATTCCCCATTAAATGAAAAGAAGAAGACTATAACATGATTGAACTTTTTTTCAACAAAAAAATAATTTAAAATAAAACAAACTATATCTCGGTATATGATAGCTTTCAAACGAGTCACATCAATATTTTGCAACAGAACTTCCGTATCTTGAATATTCGGAGTCATGAGACTGTACCCAGTCGTGTTCTTTCGAGAGAGAGAGAGAGGGAAAAAAGGAATAAAAAGTTTATAAAATTTTGATAAATTACCAAAATATTTCTGTGATTATTACCAAACAATTTATATTTTTTTAAAAAATAATAATATCATAAAACAAAAAATAGGTGTGATCAATAATCAGGCCTCATTTTGGGTAAAATTTTGATCGAAAAGACCGTTATACCCCGATCCGTCTTTTTATCGCGCTAAAAAAAAGAAGAAAAAAAGGGAGGTGAAAAACTTTATCAACATTTCCCCCCAATATGATGTCGATCACGGTAGGATCTATTTGATTTATGGGTGACTGGTTGCTGCGATATCTAGCGAGAGGAGAATTGAGGAGAGATTGGAGATATTTCCTGTATTGATTCTCCAAGCAATTCCTAACGGTGCAAATACAAGCTATAATTCAATGATCACGATCATTTTTTTAGAGGGAAAAAAAATTTATAAAAGATTTAATTATTCAAAAAGTCTATAAATAATTTTCTCTAATATTAAAATAAAATGTCTAAGATGAATAGAAGAAAAAAGAGAACAGTAAACTTTGTAATTCGATTTTATAAACAGATGGATTATTTCCGGGGATAATTGAAAATCGATATAAAGTTTGTTTAGTTAGCTGAAACGATATAAATGTTACAGATTAGTAACAAATTGTGATTACTTAATCAATTTACGTATTATATTAATATATTACCTAGTCTTTTTACTATTACTTGTAATTACCGAATCAATTTATATTACTTTTTTACAAAATGTTTTACTTGAGACTGAAAATTAAATATATTTTTATATATAGATTTCGCGTAAAGATTTAAATAAAAAAAAGTTACACATCTTAGTAAAAAGAAATATTATAAGTCAATATTCTACACAGACTAATACACATTCTACAGGTTATTCCCCTCAATACCGAGTAATAGAGTGACCCTAACAATTTTTAGGGCAAGACCTTCCCCGCTTGTCAATAATAAATATATTTTACAGGGAGTATTATGAGAAAATTCGTGACTTTTTTGGGTAATTCCGCAAGAAAACTTTAAGATAATCTTTCATTAGTGGGGAACTTCCTCCCTCGATAAACTTTTCCTCTTTCTTAGAGAATCTCTTTATTTATAGGTGCGGGCCGATTTCTAATAATTATTTTTTTAAAAAAAGAAGAAAAAAAAACAAACCTAATCTAAGGCACTGTCTTAATATGCCTCCCGGGGGAATGTTTTTTTCGCTCTCCATCTCGTGAAAACTCACCGAACTAGCTAGCACGAAAACGTCGATTAGATTGATAAATCTCACTAAGTAAGCCATAACCTTTGAAGGGGTTAGCGGAGTTTGATCCTGAAAATCAAATATGTGAGTTTAAAAGTAATTTATAAACGACCATTCTTTTTTTTATTTCGTTCGTAGTATCTGTTATTTATAACTCATAATTCGTTGTTAGATGAATTATGATAATATTATTTGTTCTTCATCTATTCTAAGGGAGGGAGGGCACGTTTAAAAATTTTGAGGTAATAATTGGTTTGAAAGAATAAAAGGATCTCACCCATAACTCAATTTCCACATGATACAAAAAAAAAATAATTTCAAATTTTAAAAACATTCAAAAAAAATCGAAGTTTTTCTTTAGTAAATTAACCAAATATTTTTATATTCTATTAACCTTCTCAAACTAAGTGGTACTTAGATGCAAATTTTAAGCTTAAAATATGTGTTTATGTTTGTTTTGACAGGCGAAATTAGGTTCATTTCGCTTAGTTTCTTATTTGTATTAAAACTTTGGCAATTAAAATTTTTAAGAATTCGGCTAATAATTTAAATAAAATTTAAAAACAGTTATTTTTTGAACAATTCAAAACAAAAAATATGATTTTTATTTATCATATTTATATGATTATGGTAATATAATTGGCAAATAGGTCAGGTAAATACCTGGGAACGGTCCCCCGAGCCCCTGTGGCCATTAGCATATTCATAATTTTCACCGCGTTCCTCTCCGTAACTCGACATAGGACTAGGCTGGTAAGGATTGAAGGTAACGTTGGAAGTGTTGGTAGTGTAAGCCAGCAACTGTATGACTCCCCCCGAACTCACGATAAAATTGTCCATCATCTGCGACAAGAAATGAATGGCATTTTGAACGAAGATTTGATTCTCGCTGAAATTTACTAGGTCTATCAGATTTCGACCGGCCTCGCTATATTTTTAAAACGTATACACGATAATTATATTAAGTGGGGGAGAAGAGGAATGGTAAAGGCATCATGACATCCAGTCATCATCCCGAGTTTACAAGCCTCCCCTAAACCAATAACATGGAGGCCCATCCCCTGATGATGTGATTCAATTATGAAATAGCTATGGACTATGTATGCTAACTAAAAGGGTACCCTCTAGATTTCAATGACACAATTGTATCTGTCCACCGTGCTAAAGGAACCCGACATCTCATCACGCAACACAGCATTTTAATGTAACGATAATAAAAATAAGGCTAAGTATTTAACCAGGGATTACACGAGTTTAAAAAAAATTTAGGACAGTACTAGTAGTAAGAGTCCATTTTCATCTAATGGATAAATAGAATTTTTGCTGATCAAGTAACCGACGAATCGGCGAAATCAGGCGACACCAAATCATCATAGCTGATCATTGAAATGGATATTAGGCCCAAGAAAGAATGAATAATCGGCAAACGAAGACATGCGTTCAAAGAGATATTTTAAGTTTAGCGTTTTAGGGGGGGGGGGGGTCGAGTAACAAAAGCGGTTAAAAATTGAAGGGTTTATATAGAGAATAAAGATAGAAATCGTAGTAAGGAAGTAATAGCGGAATTTAGTATAATGGAGGAAGGAAATTCGAGGATTTTGAGACTTTATATCCAGAGATAACATTAAACTAAACGCGATTTTGAAGTTTCCCGTCAAATTTTTGGTCTTTAGACAAACAATATAAGCTAGTTATAAGAGTATATAAATTTATTCTTGTAGGGTCTCCAACCTCTTTCCACTGGTTAATTCCATTTCTTTATTTTCATTGGATCCCTAAGGCTTGAAATGTTAAGATTAGTCTAATTAAAGGTATTTGTTCCTAATACAAGGTTAGATTAAGTTTGCCAAATCACAAAAGAAAATAATGATCCCTGAGTTATATGGTGGAATAAAAATAACGCAAAGATTGGGTTCATTTTTTAAAATTTTATAACCTCTATTTTAAATTGTTATCTTTTAGTCTCCAAAAAAAAAACTAATAAATGCACGAAGCCTTGCAGATATAATTTAGCAATAGAAGGCTACTACAAAAAACAAGATAAAAAATATCCACGCATTAATTCGTAATACAATTTTAAGATGAACAAAAAGAAAAATACTTTTTCCAGTTATCGATATCTTTTTCCAGCCTTGTCAAAATGTCGGACAAAAGGCCAAGATGTATGGTCGACCACTTGAAATCGGGTATTTTGAAAGGAACGCTACCGCCGGATTCCTTAGGACAAATATTTATATTTGGAGAATTAATGGCAGAAGGTGATCCGTTGACTGCTACTGATTGAGAACGAACAGTTGAATCGTCCGTATGTTTATCCGCGGAGCGGATTGGCGTGTTGTATTTTAAGCGGTAGTCCTCCTTAGAAACCTTGAGTGTATATATACATATTAATTAATTGTAATTGATTAAATTGTGTCTTTCCTCTTTCTAAGCAAAATAAAAATATCAAAAGGAAAAGTTCATTTTCTCACCAGTGAATGGATGATAGCCATGGTATCGACCCAAACTCTCCAACCCCCGTATTCGTATTTTATGGCGTGGTGAATGAGCGAAGATAAAAGCCCCAAAACTCCTTGGCTTATTTGGACCTCTTTTTGCGAGATAGGTCGAACTATCACAAGACCTAGGAGCCACTCTTGCCACACAGACATCTAAGCGTTCATTTAACCAAATTTTTTTTTATAAATAAAAATCACATATTTTTCCTCGAATATTCGTTACTACATGTAATTTGGTTGTATCACAAAAAAATGAATGATAATAATATTTTCGTTCTTTCCTTTATATTAAATTTTTGTATTTTGGTACAAAGCAATATGACTAGACCAAGAACTAAGTTTTCAATAATTCTTAAAAAAGGGTTTCATATTTTTCTTCTTTCGCACGATTCACATTTACAACTTGAGGTTGCAATAGTCACAATAAAATAATTGATGGTGAGAGGATTTTAAAATAAGGTGATGTTATCAATTTCTTCCGCTATAAATATAGAATAGACATTATATCACATCCAATCATTACACTTTCATAAAATAAGTATATAAACCTGCAATATTTTCCGTCGGTTTTCAGCACTTTGCCCGCACAAAAAAGTTAAATCATTTATAAAGTGTAGTTTCAAGTCCAAGAAGTGAGCAATTAACCGTTCCCTAGCCTCCCTACTAAATTTCCCGGATCCGTTCTTCTCGTCGACCTTGATACATTCATCATCGGGGCAAAGCGCCTCTTCAAATTCGTAGGTGATTCTACGCGTAAAAATGTTCAACACGTAGGCGATTACACTCAACAACTGCGGATTCTCCATCTTGTAAACCGCCGCGGCTGGCGTTGAGGAAGATTTGCGACCGGAAGGAGAATCCGGTGGCTTCCTTCCTACTTCTTCTGTGCTATTCCCATTCAAGCTGCTGTAGTCGAATGAATCGGCTTTCGGGGAGCGATCGCTGGGATAATCGTCGGGGTATTTTGTGGAGAAATTTCGGATTTGAGGGGGAGAGAGTGAAGCAGAGAGGAAGCACGCAGTTGGGGAGATGTTCATGAGAGTGTAGGAACTCATACGCTCTAGTAAGATCTAAAAAGGGAAGTGAGAGTAGCAGAGGAAGAAGATATAGTATATAACGATTAAGAGATGCACTCATTTTTTTAAATAAAGGATCGGCCAGATCAATCATACTTTTTTAAAAATAATATCGTAAATGGGATCAACGTTTCGTTCATTCAAACGATAACTTGCCATATAATTCATAAGAATTACAATGTATTTTAAAATAATAAAAAAAAATGAAATTATTTTTTGTACTTCCATCAAAATACTGTGAATGGATGTCGTGTAAGCTTGGGGTCCTAACATGATTATCCTTTCGCCCAGCAAGGAAAATAGATCGTGGGCTTGCATAACATCATCTTTACGTCTAAATTATTAATAGAATTTTTAAATACATTTTAATTTTGTTTCCATTCCAACTGGTTGAGTAATGAGATATAAAAATAACGTATAGATAAAGGTAAATGAGTACTCCTGAGAATTGCGAGAAAAAATTGGAATATCAGAGGTGTGTAATAAGATAGGCTGAGATAACTGGACAAATTTTTATTATTTAAACATCTTTTAAACAAAACAATGAATTGATAATTAAGATATGCGTAAATGAACTAGTTATTTATATTTAATGTTAATAAAGTCTGATAGTTTAAAATTCAAAAAATAAATAAAGGAGACTAAACGAATTAAAAAACTAGGCAATATTTTTTCTGGGGAAACTCCAATTATGGATTAAAAGTGAGCTCGGAAGAAAATCTTGTCCTTTTGGGTCCGATAGCCATTTTACATTTAAATTTCAGGAGTAATTTTGAATATATAGTTCTCATAGAGTGTTAGCCCCGATGTAAGCTGACACTGTGTTTGTGTTATAAAATAATTCGCTCATAATATTAATTGTATCTTTAATCAACCAAGAAAACTTTGTTTTTTGCTAGAGTGAGAATGACCGACCGGTGCTTGTTTTAGTTTAAAAAACTCTACAGATATTAAATAAATTTCAAATCTTGCTCTCGTAGAATAGGAGAGTGCATGGACATGTTGCGATTCTATCAATACTTAAAACGTCCAAACTACACATTTATTCATAAAAAAAACAGAATCTAAACAGTATCATAAACGATAATATAAACAGTACTATTAATAGGTAAACACATAACCAATAAGTGAAATCTTCACAATCTCCTCCATTCTTTGTTCTTCACCAGCTGGCAACACGTGATCTCCCATTCTCTTCTTCCCCCAAGGAAAATTAATTATTCATGTCATAAAAATGACTGACATTTAGTATATTATATTAAATTTATTTCTTCTTTTTTCTAACTGCTACAACAAATACGAAGTAGGATCAAATTAGCCAGATATTTACAAATATGGATGGAAGGGAAAATAAATTTGTCGGCCCTAAAACACATGTCCCACGCAAGATTATCTCAAAAAAAAAATTAAAATAATATATACACATTAATTTCGTTCTATTTAAAACTTTTGAGTGCTGTGCGTCATAAAGAGTCCTAACAACTTGAGTGCCTGGGCTCTGATGATTTCTTGTTCAAAATTCAGCAGCTTGAAGATGATCCTTTTTTTTTGGTTATAATATTTAATTAAAAAACTTTAAAACCAAAACAAAACCAGATTGATTAGTTTATAAATTCTTAGATGTCTATTTATTATATGAATGAATGATATAACCTAAAACTTAAAATTGTGATTTATACTTTCCACTTTTTTCTCATGTGTTGAAAATTCAATTTAAAATTTGATTGGCAAGTGCTAGACTATGGTATCAAGAAATAGCCACATATAAAAATACAATACTTTATAAAGGTGATTTATTTTATATATTATATTTTGATGATGCATTTTCATATATCAAACAGATAAAGGACCGTTGTTTATCAAGTAATATTATTTTTAATTAGACTGTTTTCGGACTTCGATCTGGTTACCGATAGATCTATTTAATGTGATATTTTTTTATAAAAAGCAAAAAAAACCTTATTCCCAATTTTCTATCGAATGCTGGCACGAACGAAGAAGGGTGCTCGGAGGCGAGGGAGATTAATAATTGCAAGACATCTTGAATGTTCTCGAACTTTTATAAAACAAAATTTTTTTTTTTAACATTAGGCAGTTTGTTTCTTTTTTTTTTTACTTACAATACGCAACTTAATTTTCAATTTATTAATGTTCGGATTTAAAACGGCTAACTCGATATTTTGGCCAGAAAAATATTGTATAAGTCTCGAGATTTCGTTAATAGATGTTCAAACCTTTGTGTCACCTATGGGCAAAATCTTAAGACTTGCATAATATTTTTTCTAATAAAATATAGAGTTAGCCGTTTTTAAAAATCGGCTCAAAATGGGCTGTTTAAGAACACTACCATTTAAGTATGAATAAAAATTTTACAAAGAATAAAAATTTTACAAACAAATGAAAGTTTTTATGAAATTTCATTCGAAGAATTTTAATTTTAAGTTTCGAACAGGTTCATTAAAATCTCTAAATAATTTTGTCAGACTCTTGAAATAGTTGTTTTTTTAAATTTGTTTTGGGTGCAGCCTAAGGAATATCGAAAACAAAACAGAAAAAATGCCTTTCAATTTTATATTTCATATTTTTACTATAAAAATCGATTACATTATCAGATAAATGTTATTTAAATAAAGGAACAATTGACCGGTTAAAAAAAAATATTTAATTAAATAAAATATTAGTATAATCTTGTTTTCAAATTCTATATGCATTTTTTAAATAAATCATAAGAGTTAAAATGTGAATTTTTGCCGGACTAGGGTTCTGGAGTGAACTAATGAGGAAATAGGGGTTGGCGTGCTCAACTATGTTTCTGCATAGTTTCGTGCATTTTTACTGAATAATTTTGAAGATATAAGCTTGTTGTAACTTAATTTAAAAATCTCGTGGGATTTTATGTTACTGTTCACAAGTATACTGTGATAATTTAATATTAAAAACAACGTTATCTATATTTCAGTATATTTAAATATCTTATCTATATTTATTAACCTCAGTGACGGTTGCCAAAAAATCGATGAAATGACCCATCTCATTCTCCCGGATTCCCCCGTCCCTCAATAGGATCTGTTTGAGAAAAAGAACCATGTACGCCCTCAAATTTAAAATTTCTATTTGGCTGGGCCTCTCGTCACATTTGGACTCGTTAGTTTCGGAATACTTGTTTAAACTCCCGTCCCCCGCATCCGTTTTACTCGTACCCATCGTAAACAGTTCAGAACCTTGAGTGGAAGGGCTGAATATGGTCTGAAGGTATAAAATTTCATTGGGGAGCGTGTTATAAATACAAATATTTTTCGCTATTTCTTCCGTAATTTCATCAGTATCTTTATCCCATCCGGTCTTATGTCTTGGCAGGTTATGAACAACTTTATTTGCGGACTTTCCACTTCCGTTATAAAGATCGCTTCCTGTGACATAGGTCCAGTTAGCAAATTTATTCGATTCATTGTCACCTAACGAACTTTTGGTCTCATGCTCACCCATCGAATCTTCGGATTTATGAAGCGATATAGATTCACGATCAGGATATAGTAAATTTTCCCCGCCAGAGGTCCAATAAGGAGGGACCACGTAGTAGAAATATTTGAGAGAGCTTAGGGTTTGGGATACTATCTCGTTTCGGGCTGATTTATAGCAGTCCGTCTTGATGATGAACTCGGTGGCCAAGTAGGTGTATAGCCGAGCTTGAATCTTTATCGAATATATTTTTTAATTAATAAAAAACTAAACATTTTCAAAAAATATGACGAAAAAAAGAAATTATGAATCCTAAATTTAATTTATTTTTTAACCCGATCAAGGTATTCTTCAAGGCCCGATCCCTTCTTTCTTTTTTTAAACTTGGCCATTCTAAATCAGTTTGGAAGTATTTTGTAAATGGTTTTAAAGGAGATGTATATTTTGAGAAAAAAAAATTAATAGTATATTTCGCAACTGTATCACCCTTACCTTTTTAAATAAAATTTATATATTTGTGTATAATATGTCTGATTCCATAATAACAAAAAAATTTACTATTGCTAAAAAATAACATAAAAATACAAAAAAAATATCCCACCTTCGGCTGAGCCGTTATCCATAGTTGAGGGTTAAAGAAAATGAAATCCATAATTTGCTTAGCCATAGCAAATTGCTCGCACTTTTCGATCAAATTCGCGAAGGAATCAACAACCGTTTCGTTGAGGTGCCGCCTGGATGTCTAAAAAAGAGCCATATATTTCGTTATTAAAGAGATTAAGGATAGTTATAGCAATTCATCATTGGTACATATATCAAGTTATTGTATTAGTTTAAACCTCATTTTCTTTATATTGTATTATTATGATTTATGGCCAGAGAAAGTCAAATTATTTTTTTTTTAAATTTAACTTTTCATCTTTAAAGATTTTTTAATGCTTAAAATCACAAAAAGATTTGGAATTTTAGCCAAAATTTATTCTGCTTGAGCTTTCTAGAAAAAAAAGATTTTTTTTATTTTGAAGAGCATTTCAAACTCTAGTTTTTAATTATTATTCGATAAAACATTTGAGAAGAATAAAAAATCACTAGTTTTTTAATCATTATAACTATTCAATGTAATTGTTGAAATATATAATATCATCATTTTCAATAAGGGCTGTAAGTCGGATGATTGTCCTTGTTCATTAAAAATTTTTTTAAATAATTAGCGTCATTTAAATTTCGCTTCATTATATCTTTGACATAGATACAAAAAAAATATTGTTATCACAAGCGGCTAAACTTATATAAAAAAATGTAATTAGAGATCGAAAAATTGTTTATTCTTTCTAAATAATTATTGCACCAATATAATTGTGCAGTTTCAAAACTAAAATATATCACTTAGTAAATTAGACATATTACGAAATATTTTTAGCGTTAAAGAGATAACCAAAAATTGACTAATAATCTAAAAAATAAAAGATATATATATTAATTAATTTTTGAATAGCATATTGGTATTGCTTAACCAATATATCATTACTGTTGGATTGATTAAACGGCTATCCTATTTCCTACTTGCTTAAAAGCTTACTTCCTAAGCCCACCCTTAAACTGTATGGGTGCAAATATGCGAATAGAGCTCCTATACTCCGATCATATAGACATAATAGTTCATAATAATTATTTTGTCAAAATATCATTTTTACATTGTTCAAAAAGTAAGCCATCATAATGATCCCCTTGGTTTGTACGAGCTGAGAGCAAACGTCGTGCGAATCGATAGCCAACTCTTTTATAAGCCTGATCAATTTACCACTGCAAGTTTGATTTTTTATTTATATTATTTAGAAGAAGAAAAAGAGAGTATAATGGAGTAAAATAAAAAGTAAATATTTCAGCCATACCCCAAGGTGTAATCAATGTCTCCTGCTCGCGTCAACAAAGTGCCTCTATCAATATGAGTAGTTGATGGCGGTAGCGGAATCTCGTGTTTTATATCGATTTGTTCGAATAAAGGAAATAATAACGAGATTCCGCCTAGCGAATGCATGGTGTCTGTGAGCGTGTGGGTATTTATAGCCTTTACGTCCTTTTATGATATGACAAAATAGAATAAAAATAAATAAAAATATTTTATTTTAAAATGGGATTTTTATTGGCAAGGATAATATTGAAACATATAAAAATAATTATTAATTATGATATCCCAAATAATCCTGCCTTATAAGGGGATGTGTGTTAATATCTTCATTTTCGAGTGGTCCTGAATAGTATAGTTTAACCGTTGCATTGACAGATCGTAAAAGTTAACTAGATAGATAGGATGGTACCAGGAACACCTTCGATCTTTAAAAAATTCAAAATCCTCTAAGAACTAGATGGAGCTCGTGAAAATAAAGAATGCCAGTGGAGACGTCCAAAATAAAGAGAGGGGATTAGAAAATAAGCTTGCTTAACTGATTAAAAGTGGGAAAAGCATCATTTATAAAAATTGAATTTCATAGGTGATATCGGGTCTGTTGATATTGAAACGGCCTCTAAAAATCTTTACATCTCTATATATTTACAAAATAAAATAAGAGAAACATACCCCAATCATGAGAGCGTGGGGAGAATGAACGAAGTAATTGGAATTGTTCCTGGGAGAACCTTCTAGGCATAATTGCCCGTCACATGCTAACGGGTCGTAAAGAAATACTATGGAGCCATTGAGTTTCCCGTCGTATAAAGCCTTTATATAGAAAATAGAATATGTAACATATGTCGGAATTATGTAATGTAAATGGTATAACAAATTTTTTCGTTAATCTATTTCATGCATAAAAAATCCTATTGTTTTGTTTTTTTTATTTTTCATTGTTTTTCCAATTTTGTAAAGTGAAATTAAAGTTTTTAAAAATAAATATTTACTTTTTTGTCGGCTTCGTTGAGTCGCCTAATGTTTTGGGACTCGTTCTCGTATTTGAACTGACCCTACATTTTTTTAACGGTCAAAATATTAATGGTATTACAAAAATATTAGAAGAAAATATTCGAAAATGTCACAGGAGAATATATGAAAAAAACCCCGTACGATGGTCCCAGTTTGTAGATGGCGTTAATTTGTTGGTTATTAAGGGATTCTTGGAAAAGATAGGTGGCGGATATTTGCCCACAGAATGAATTCCCAATCGAACAATTACCAAAAGTCTTGACAAGTAACAAAATAAAATGATATGTTATAATGAATTATATTCAATTCTTTCAGATATCTTTCCTTACGGAAAACCAAAAGGTAGAATCTTGTTTTTTGAAATTCAAAGTTAATATTTTTTTGTTTCGAATCTTTTTAAATTTTAAAAAAATTCAAATTTATATATTTTTTATTTTTTAAAAAAAGAGTAAATTCTATATCCATTCCATTTTTCCTTTCCAACTTTTATATTTACCCCCTACACTATTCAAACCTCATGTACCTCATCTTGCAATAATTTATAACATGCGCGCAGTCACTCCAAAATTAAACCTCACTGATGGACACAATCCAATTAGTCTCGAGTCTGGATATGAGCTCCCCGTTAACGTAACAGTGAATTTCGCTTTTGCTCCAACGATTTCTCACGTAAGCTATGCTTATCATGTACCACTTTTTTTTTGGAGAACAAAGTATAAAAAAAACTTATAACAATTATTTTCCCGAAAGTTAGACATCTCATTTGCTAAATTCATTAATGTTTGACTTTTATAGGATTATCCAAATTTCCGTAATTTGAATTCGAGTCCCATGGTTACAAATAATGGTTTATCAAACGTTTCAAAAACGCGCAATCGACTTAAATATAATGATTCAAAATAAAATCAAAAGGTCGTTAAGATATAAGCTGCGTTTTAAGTTTAAAAAAAAGTAAGTTTCACCTCTAAACCTGAGTAACACAAAAAATTATTAGAAATTCGGGAACCGGTAGTGTTGTTAAACGGCTCGATTAAAATTTTAGCCTAAATATTATCATGTAAGCATAAAGATTTTGCTCATAGATTGCAGATTAGACTTCTAGTCGATATTTACATAATATTATTTTGCCTAAAATTTTAATCGAGTCGTTTTTAAAAATCGACCCAAATCGGGCCGTTTAACAACACTAGGGACCGGAAATCAATGTATCGTAAGGTGCTTGTAACGATGGAGAGAGTCAGTTAGTTAATAACTATTTTTAAAGTTAACACGAGAACACAACATTTAAATCACAAAACAACAAAAAATAGAAAGTGACGTAACAACAAATACGTTGCATTATAATACAAAGGAATTCCCAAAATTTGTACAAAAGAAAAAAGGGGGAGAATAGAGGATTAACGTGGGCTTAGTCCACTATAACGCAATTATTGTGTCTTATATCCTGTATAATATAAAAGCAATAAAGTTTGTAGTCTGCAATTTATACAAAAAAAAATTGGGGATAGATGGACACGGTTTTCGAGATACTACCAAACAAATGCAAAAAAAAGGATATGCGAGAATCAGTAATTTTATTGTTTTTTAAAGAGAAATTATTTTTGGGCATTTTTCGATTACAAAGGCGCGAAGGTGATCCGATCCATGAGGATGTTTTACCTCAACTCGCTTCAACCAAAAGTGTAGTTAGAACCCTATAAATAATCAGGCGACACATTTCTTAAAAAAAATTGATTGAAATATCCGCAGATTTGAGCATTGATATAATTTTTTTTTAAAAGAACTTATAATATATTTATTTTTTCTAACCCTTTTAACTACGAATTCGAATGGTAGGCAATGTACAAAATCCTTATTACCGTTTCCGGAAGTAAGCGGAAGGTTATTAACGCAATTGTGAACAATCAAGCATTTGCCTATGAAATAGGAGCGGAATGCATTTCCCTCGTTATTAGAACCAAAACTTTTTTTTAAAAAAAAATATACTAGTCAAATCGTGGACTTATTTTTTTTCTTAATTTAAAATGACTTAAATTATCCTTTTTTTATATAGGCTGCACCGAATCATCCCTCAATATCAACATTCATTGAATGACATAACATGGCCACTTTTCATATAAATTTGTACACCCGAGGGCTGGCCAATCCAATGGCTATTTTTCTTTAAAGTAAAAAGAGCTTCTAAATTCCGTAGTCGAATATAAGATAGGTAGAGAAATTTCGAGAATATAGAATCTACCCATTCAAAAAACGTTTACCAAATTTCGATTCCTCTGATGAAAAAACTATTGAATAATTATTTACCAAACCCCTCCCCTTTTTAGTATTTATAACAAATATAAGATCTGAGTCTATGTGAAGAGTATAAATAGGGAGGAAGATATAGAAAATACTCAATATGACTGGAGGGCGCTTTTTTGAAAAATCTTCGCTCCCTCTCTCCCCCGCCCCACCGCCACCAGGGTGTCAATTCGCGTCTCCGACTATTATTTAGGTAAGGAAATACGTAATATCTAATATATAAAACTTTATACAACAGGCCAAACATTAGCATTACCGGATCATAAACAATACTTTAAAAAAAAATAAGCAATCTTTGATTATAGGCAACAAATAGCAAGACGACATAAGACACACATCTAATAATTATTATTTTTAAATATAAATAAACATTTCGGGCATTTTTTTCTTCTTTTTAACTACGATTCATTATTAATATTTTTTCAAATAAAAAAAAAACTTTTCCATGTTTAAATTCGTATTTAATGCAATGCTGAAATCCTTTGCCATTTGTTTTCATACAAGTTAGGACGAGAAATGTAGAAGCCAGGAAATAGGCGGTAAATCCACAATTTTTAGTGCACGTCAAAAAACTTATATATTTTTTATTAAAAAAAGATTAAAATATAAACGTTCCGTCGACTTCGTTTTTAAATTGGCATTAAGCCACTGCGAAAATATATTTTGATAATAAGATCAGTTTTGGAAAAAAAATTTGTGACATCCATCTTGAAAGATTTTGAAAGCATGATAAATTTTGAAAAGATTTACTCATCAAAAATTTTGGCATTTTTTTAGGAAAAATTTGATTAAAATTTCTTTTCTTTGACCTAAATATATTTTTTAAAAAATTTTCGTAACTTTATAAAATTATGAAACAATGACCAATATCTTCCATTAAATTTTTTTTTAAAGTTTTGTAAATTTTTAAATTTATAACTTCCACCAAATTATTTTTATACTTCCCAATTTAATCAATATAACTGCCCCATTTCTTATTATATTGTGAAAAATATAAATTAACATCACTTACCTTTTTTTTCGTAAAAATTTCACAATTTTATAAATTTTTACATTTTTATAAATTTGAGGAAAAAAAAAATAATTTAGACCACTATATTATATTTACATTTAAAAATAGCTTATTTATTTTTTTTGATTAAAGTTAATAATGCAATTAATTATATTTTTGATATTTAGGTCACAGCCTTAAAAATCAAATTTTTTTTTAAAACTCCGATAAAATAAAATATATGAAGTCGTGTAGTAAACATATGCACTTTGGACCTGATTGACCCCAATAGACACAATCGTATATTGTATCTATATTAAATAACATAAACTCTTAAGATAATTCAAAATTAGCTCATTTTTTTATATTACAAATACAATAAATGAATTGCTTAAAAATGAAATTCCGCTGTAAGGGAGGAGCGGAGTCTCGCTTTATTTGTTGGGAGTGGGATGCCCCTTAAATTCCCCCTTACGGCCTGCTAAGGTATAAGAGAGGATAATAAAATTATTGGCTGGGGTCAATTTGATTTTTTCCATATAATTGTTTTTTTGTAAAAAAAATTTAGCTCTAATATTTAATTACTAGTCTAATTAGCTTTTGATAATTGCATGACAGTTGTCAATACTTGATATTATAAACACTAATCCCCAATAATAATCGTTATTTAAGATGAGAAAAAAAAATAACTTGAACAAATATTGTTTATCCTTATCGTATTTGGTTATATTATTGATGTTTTCCATTTGTATCCAAGCATTAAATGTGAACCCGTATTGAGTGGGCCATTTGGAGAAGGGCGGCAAAGAGATCATCTGAGAAAAAATGAAAGAATATGTTATAAACAAAACCTGCCTACTTGCACATATCGCTTAAAGGTAAACACTTTAAATGAGAAAAAAAAAATCCGTCATTTTGTTAATTCCAATTTATAAGCTAACATTGCAATTTTTAACGGATAAGTGCAAATGTTAAGTTTCGATTTTTGAAACAGAATATAAAGAAACATGCTTGTCTTGATAATTGTTTACTATATTTATACATTATAGCTATCAATAATTTCATACAACTAAATTTTATAAATTTAAGACAAGAATATTATATAGTAATTTTAATATTATAAACTATTTTTAGAAAAATACATTCAAAACAATAACCATTAAGCAAAAGGAGGTAATTAATTAATTGGAAATCTTGACAAAAAAAACCACTTAACAAAATCTTACGATTGCCATGTTTCAACAATTTAATAGAATATAAATCAACAAATGAAGCATATTATCCTACAACTAAGAAAATTGGCAAAATTAGTTTCCCTAAAACCGACAGCATTATTAGTTTGGTTTAATTTTATAAAAAATTATTAATATTCAATATTTTTATGTAAGAGATAATTTCCTTATTTCTTTCCTTCCTTCCTTTCTAACAAATTTATCATGGCAAGTAAGAATATTTTAGTTTTGCAATATAAAAGGAAGTATTTTAAGAAATAGTTTTTAAATAAAAATATATAAATTAAGTCGTTTAATGAATAATTATTTCTTAATGGGTAAGGCCCGATTATTTGCTATTAACTCTCTTGATTTATTATGATCGTTTGATTCTAAAACTTGACATGGTTATATAAATTAAGGATTATTATGTGCTAAAATTTAGATTACATTTGTTAGACTTAAACTACTCTCAAGGTAACTTGTGATAAAGTCGATATTTTTCTTTTCACAAAATATTGAAAATTAAAAATTATTTATCAAATTGGTATCACATCAAACAGGACACAATTTTTAAAAAATAATTTAATAATGATCCTATAATTTATATAATAAATGCGAAAAATTAAATAAGTGCGAAAAAATTAAATTTTTCGGTCAGGACAATCGTACCTATTATGGTTGATTTATCAAAAAAAATGTAATTACAGATTTCGTGTCTCCAGAAAAGGCGAAGAAATTTTCCGGGCACGATCTTCTTATAGATGCGCATAGAACGTCAATCAATTTTTTGGCGTGCTGATTCTATTTTATAAGGGGTTTTATTTTTGATATTAAATTTATACGCGTAATTATAAATAAAAATAAATTACATTAAAAGATAATATCAAGTTTCTATAATCTTTCTCCCCCTCCCCTTAAAATTATATTTAACAAAGTTTTAAGAAAGTTCTAATGGAAGGAGTCTATCTTAGAACCTTAGATAATGGGCTTCGCGGATGGATTAGAAGTTCTCCCATAATCAGGTATGGAAACCTAAATCATTGAAGAACGATAAGGTAAGATGACCAAATGTCGTATCTAACGAAATATGCTTACACGAGATCAGTAATTAGTCTTTAGATTTTAGACCCTAATTCAGTGAAGAACGATAGGGTTAGATTGTCAAATGACGTAAAAAAATGCGGTTCTCGGAGACTTCAGAATCTACCTTTTGTCCATTAAGAATATTAAGTGTTTGGTTATATCGGACACCTCCAAAAAATTTAAGAAATCCTATTATAACGTCTTCCGTAGGGTCAGAAGAAACCAAGAGTATTCGATGTCAATAGGACAGCTGCAGCTATAACAGGTGAGAGAGGGTGGCTAGCGAGTTCAGGCGAATACCGATGACGTAAGCGTGTTTAGTGTTGGGGAATGGTAAAGGAAGATTTGAGGGAAGCAATGGCCTCGAAAAACTTTCAGGCGTAACCAGCAACTCGATCGTTTAACGAGCAATGAAACCAACTTTATATCTTAATGGATCCAGCGAAAAGCGTGCCAATAGGATTTCCCGGATTCCATGTTTGCGATTATTCTTGTATTAATTCTTTAGCACTCTCCAACTAAACACTCAAGATTGTCGTGTAAAAGGAACAATAAAAATGAGCTTATTATTCAGAAATCTCTTAAGACTTTACCATATTTTCATCCTTAACATTTCTACCACTCTCATTAATAGTGCACAATTGTTTTTTCAACGATTGTTATAAAGCCTTTATAATTGTCAATATCAAGACTAAATACATTAGTTTAATCAGTAGCCCTCTTCCGAAAGAGCTCTCATGTAAACCCGTCCTAAATAATTTATATTTAATTTAAATATTATTTTTTGTTTACCCATAAGCCATTTTCTTGTAACTGGAAAAATTGCAAAAAAAGTTTGAATTCAGTAACGTTCACGCTGTAGCTGAGCAGAGCTCCCGTAATTTCGATAAGAAAATCTAGACGGAGGAGGGGAAGAGGGAAATTCGATATGATATAAATTGCGAATTAATTGTTGTATGAATTTTTTAAAAAAATGTATTCTTTCTTTCGGTCCTTAATTGATTTTCTTTCTTTACAATCTTGTTTCGTAATGTAATACTAATATAAATATGAATCATCAATTGAATTTCAAAGGTTATAAGTATATTTAAATAATTGCTCTATTTTTAACCAGCTAAATTAAGGATTTAAAACAAAATTTATAGCTCAACTTTGAAAAAACAAACAATTTCGGGACTCTATTAGTGAAAGTTATGGCACGCACCTAACCGTCCAGAGTGAAAAAAAAGATTATAATTATTTTTAAAATTCTGTGTAAGAAAAATTAACAAATGGGTTGGTTCACTGAATATTTTTTAAAATTTAAAAATGCGTCAAGAGGATTTATCAGCCAATGTTGGCGGGTATCAGATTAGTCAACGTCATTATTAGCCTATTTAGCTATTTTCTGAATCCCGTTAAATCAATAAAAGATAAATACTTTATTCTACCGTCTATAATGAGTCCCAACAATCTGCTGTTGTGAAGACGTAAGAGGCATATGATATTAAAGTATTTCATTTCCTGAATTTTTGCCAGCACTTTATGGCTGCAGGATATCTTAATAAGAGGAAATAATGTAATCAGATTGACAAATGTGCGATTATCGATCAGGGGAATTGGCTGAACTATTTTTGATTTGATGAAAATCACCTGGTCCTGATGTATTTAATTTAGTTTGCACCAAAAAATATTGAGATAATATTAGATTTCTCTGATATTTGAGGTGGACATTCTAAATTTAAAATAGGTGGTAATCATTTAATTAAAATATGATTTATTAGGTTGAAGCTGCTTGATATATTGAACGATATTATTCTTCAATATTTTAAGCATTTTAAATTTAAATTCTACAATAATTTTTTTTTATTAAGCTCAACATATTTTGATAAATTGTAAAAGAAAATTTGAGAATATCAATTTTCTAGTAAAATTTCATTGTTATCATCCTGTCGCCAAATTCTCGTCCATGTTTCTGTCCCAATTGACGGCATCTTAGATGTTAAATTCCCTTGATTATTAATGATGCAAATTTCGAAATAATTTAAATGTCAAAAATGATATTAAATTAATGTATTCATAATTATAAAATTGTAAATAAATTTTTTGGTATTTTTTTTGTATAATATATAGTATTTATAGTGGGCTAACCACTATTTATTTTAAAGTCAGGCGCGTTAAATAATTTATAAGGATCATTTGTAGTGTTGGTTAGTTGTGATGAAAGTTACTTCTATTTTTCTTTCATTTAAATAAATACAATTGCTACTAGAGATTCTATTTAAAATACAATCTCCAAATCCTTTATTTTTAAAATTTATACATTAATTATTGATGAAATTACCTTTGAATATCAACATAAAATTCGTATATTATAAAATAGTCTCAACTACCAAATATTGTGATATACATTTTTTTAAAATATTATAATATTTCAATTGCTACTTTTATCAAAAAACCAGAAGTTATTTTTAAAATTTAACAAAATCGAGTTTGGCAATTATAATGCATAAATGCGGAAATCATCTTTTAATTAAAATTTTTTTTCTTACTTTGCTTGGACTTATTCTTAGTCTATAAAAGATAACAAGAAAAAGTATATCCATGTAAAGAATAAAATGTTTTTTTTTAAAAAATGCTCGACTAAAATAAAAGTACAAATATTTTTTAAAAACCAAAAGTTTCAAGAAAAATAACCTTTTTTGCCTAAAATTTTAAGCAAAATATCTTTACAGATCACAAAAATGAATTTTTTTTTTGTTATTATCATCATTTAAAAGATTATTTTATGCATTATAATCACAAAAGATTTACTTATATGCTAGGTAAAATTTAATTTAAAAAAAAAACTAGTTTGAAACTTCTCAGAGAGATTTTCTTTATGTGAAAAATAATCCCTCAAGTGAAAAGTGTGGGATACCTTAAGACCCCAATTTAGAAACACTATATATTAAAATCAAATTAATTTATAATCAAATTAATTTATAGCTTTAATATTTTAAAAATATATTAAATAAACTAATAAGCTATTATTTTATCGCTATATGACACATTTTGTCAAGGGAGTCAAAAAAAATGACAAATTATTTTAAAATGTCACAATGTGATAAAACAAAAAAATATAAATAAAATTGATGATGTAGAAATGTTTAGCTAAGGTTCAAATATTAATATAAATTTTAATTAATAAAAATGATATATAAAAAGTTTTATTTATGCTTAATATATCAATGCTAAAACAAATGAAAAAATGTTACATGAATAGGTGGCGTCTATATGACCTAAAGCTCCAAAAAAACCTTTATAACCTTTGTACTACTGAAAAAGATCAAGATTATGTACACATACATACACTTTATATAAAAATGTTAAGCTACCAAAATATTCGGGCAAAAATATCGAAAGAGTTTTAAGTAATAACGTTTTTAAAATGACTGGGGTCTATATAGTACCACTTGTGCAATGATGGATTAAAAAAAATCTATCAAAATCACTAAAGATTTTTATTTTAAAGAACATTTCAATTCAAACTCTACACAAAACAATTATAACACATGATCTTAATGATTTAAAATCAAAAACTTTTAGTTATTATATGGAAAAAAAAATTATATATCAATGAAAATCGATATGTAAGCCATTAAGAATAAATTTTCTTTTTTTTACTTTACTTAGAAATGGATTTTGTTGATATATCCGCAAAAAAAATAAGGTGATTGATAAAAATAATATCAGTTTCAATAACTATGTCAATTTTCAAAAAATAAATATTTTAATTTTTGATGTTGTTGAGAGTAGGACTGGCTGGATGCCTGATAATCGCGTTGCTCTTCTTTTCATTTTCTTTTGTAGCAAAAAAATGAATGTCTACAACAATTATTCCTTAATTTCGTTAGGATTAGGTTAATGGATCATTAATTATAAAATTCAGCTCAAGCATATTAAAGGTTGGGGGGGGGGCAATTACGGTACCACCGAAACTCTATAAATTATTTCAGCAAATCAATCTATTATATAAAAGAATGTTTAAAACACCTGATAGAAACGGTCACTCAAACTTCAAATTTAAAAATTAGTTTTGTTAAACCACCTATCAACTATAAAACAGCGTAGCCATATTTTTATCCAGAAATATTCTAATCAATCTTCAAGATGAAACTCAACTTAGAAGCTTAATTCAATTTCTCCATCTAAAAGCTTAAGACGCAATAGAGATGGTCAAAGTTAGGTAGTTAAACAACACTATTAAAGATGGATGATTATAAACAATTAATTGTTAAAATACAAGTTAGATTTCTTCCTTCTTTCTTTTTTTCTCTATCTATCTATCTATCTATCTATCTATCTATCTATCTATCTATCTATCTATCTATCTATCTATCTATCTATCTATCTATCTATCTATCTATCTATCTATCTAAGAGGGGAATAAAGATGCTCATTTTAAATATTAGCAATAATTTACGAAGTAAATCACCCATAAAAAAATACTTTTAATATGAAAAATAAAAAAAGTTATCTATATGCAAACGACATTGCAAGACTATGGGGAAAAAAGAGAACATTAATATAACCGATATAAGTTTTAATAAATTTTTTTAAATAATAAAAGTTTTTTTTTTAAAGATGAAAATTTGTAGAAATTATGTAGTGTGTTTCTTGATGAATTAAGAATAAATTATGGTTATGAAGAGAGATCGTCGAATGAATATATAAAATAATAAAATTTGAAATATCAATATCAATTTTTTTTTAAATGCATATTTCTTTGCTTTTCTTGATTCTTTCTTTCTTTTCTTTCATTCATTTTGTTCTTTTTTTTTACATCATAAAAAAAGAGGATGATGAATATTAAACAGGATCTGGATGCACATTTCTCAATAAGGCAAATCTTCCGTGAATTCTAGAGCCCATGTTCAGCATAAATAAAAAAGCCCTGATGGCAAAATTATATCCCCTTTGTATCTGGCAAACCCTTGGTCTGGGATCTTATTGCACAGACCTCCTTGCCCCTTCTAATAATATACATGACCCTGTTCTCAGGGCTGAGTCATTAAAATGTCAAAAATATTATTACCTCATGGGTGATAACCACTGTGTCCCCATCATAGATACATCATTCTGCAAATTCGGGCAAGCTGCTTTGAATTTTTTCAAAACGGTTTCCAAATACATATGGGAAAAACATATATCTATCCTTTTTATAAACTAAAACAAAACATTACTATTAATTACAATTTTTAATGTTTCACTTAGCATTTACCCTTTTAATTTTTCAAATTTTATATAATTTTTATGTTTTTTTAACAAAGATATATATGTAAATTTTTAATATATATATTAATTTTTAAATAAAAATAATTCAACACAGTATATTGAATAGAATGGGTAAATAAATTTTAAGAATTAAATTCTTATTTTAACAAAATATTCTTTTTATCAATTCGATTGATCTTTTTTGATCAAATAAAAATGTTAGAATTATATATATATTTTTTAAAAACATCAATTAATGGGTTTGGTTGAGTAGGTAATACAAATTTTTATAAAAAATTGGCTAGAATATAGATTTTAAACGTTATGAATTGAGAGAAATGTCATTAGCAATTTATTATTCCACTGAATAACTAATCATCTGTATGATGATAATTTTGATAGAAAAAACTTCAATTTAATGATCATTAGCTAAATTAAATATTCTTCAAAGTCTGTTCTTTTCGCGGAGGTCATTCGTTAAAATGACCTAATGTCCAGATTCTGTTCATGTAGCAAATTTGTATAAATATATAAATTTTCTTATAAAAAGAGTGGATTTTATACAATTACACGAAATATTTTAACTGAAGGTTCCAAATAATAATAATAAAAATTATGAATAAAGACGGGATTCATTCCTGACTAATCTGATTTATAACACTAGACTGACTGACACGCGACAATCGTAATGTTAATAAGAAAATGTGATAAACGCCATTTTGATTAAACAAGTGAATGTAAACGTAAGCCGGAAATGGTCATCGTGAACGTGAAAGATTTACCTTTAAAAATATATTTGCAATAATAATAAACCTGCGATGACCCCATCGGTAATTCGTAATTTCCTGAGAACGTATTGCAAAAGATGAATTTCCGTAGAGGCCTGTAAATTCCGCACGTGCTTTTTAACGACGGTGGAAAGTATGCTCCAAAATTGTGTCTAAAAAATTTATCGAATTTCAAAAGGATAAAAATTATGCGGTGAAATAGGGCGTTCAGAAAAAAAAATTTTAAAAAAGGAAAGGAAGAAAAAGAATATTTTTTTTTAAAAAAAAATAGAGAGAAGAAATTTATTGATAATAATTCGTAAATCGTGTAAAAAGAAATTAAATCATAAAAAAAAAAATTTTCTATTAAAAAAAAATCATAAATTATTCATTAAAAATAAGGGTTTTTGTGTTTGAAAAAGAAGAATAAAAATATGATAAAGTTAGGGACAAATATTCTCCCTTTTCTTTTGTCGAGTAAAATTAATATTCGTATCTCGCAAAGACTTATCGGAGTAAGATCCGATTGGTCGGGTTTGAATTTCCTCGAACTGGGGTTTAATTCGATCCGGGGCATATTGGGATCTGAATAGAATTTTATTTAATTTATCTCCCTAAAATGTTTTTATAACATAACCAATTTGCACACAAATTGAACGTTTCAAAAAGCTACGTTTGTATAAAACACAAATAACGCATTTTAAATGGTATCCCGCAAATTGATCTTGGCGCAAAAAACAATTTTTTTTTAAAAACGCAAACTAGTTTAGTTTTTTCAATAATTTTTATTCGCCCATTTTGTACGTTGCTATGACTCGGTCTTCGATAACTCGGGTTTTTCACGATAAAGCCCGGAAAATCTTGTTACCTAAATAAAGGAAGGGCGCTACTTTTTTTTCTTTCCTTTCTGAAGAGAAGATATGATTATATTTAAAAAAAACTCCTTGTTGCCATAACAATATACAATGAGCACATATCCGTTTTTCATTTAAAATATTTTTTAAAACGTAAACCTACTTGCGTTTTGCAACTATTTTCAAATTTTGTTGAAGTGAAGAAATGAATACACCATCAAAAATGTAAGTATAATTATCTTTAAATCATCATATATTAATTATTTTAGATCATGGAATGACCAAATTACAAAGAGGTTTGCCAAAATGTTGGAACCTGAAGAGATTATATGGAATCAGGCGCATCCTGATCACAAGAAGACATTCGTTGTGATGGAACAACTTTCCATAGGAATTAAGTTAAATAATATATAATATTATTAATAATTTTATTTTTAGATTATCAGAAGAATAGAATATCCAGATTATGACTGTAGTGTTAACTACATAAAGAAACGTTTAAGAAATTTTAAGGATCAACTCAATAAAGAAAAATTAGGCAGACCTTCAGGATCTAGAGGAGGGGTGCATGAATAAAAATATAAGAAATATATTAATTTCATGCAAGCCACTGTTGCTGACAGACCTACTGTCAGTAACTTTCAGGAATCCCCTCCTCAAACAAGGAAACCTGCTAAAAATGATTTGCAAATGCTTATGAATGTATTGGAAAAAAAGTCATCTATAGTATCCAGTAATTCTTATTTTTATCTATAATTTATCTATCTTTTATATAGACTCTTTTTGGATAGCCTAGTTGATATATTGGAAGGTTACAATTCAGATGAAGATTATTTTTTTAAAACAGAGGTTTTAAAAGTAATGCAAATAATCAAGATTAATAGAAATGCACAACCAACAGAAACATCTGAAACAGCTTTAGATATTTTTATTACCATTATATAATTTTGATATTTATATTTGTTATATTATTAATTTTTGATATATTGTTATTAATAAAATTTTTATATAATTAGTAGTGGATAATTATGTGTTAACTTCTTCCTAAAATGTAATTTTATCCAATTTTTATTCCTTTTACCCCCTCCCCCCTTCAGGCCAGGTTCAATATAATGAAACTAAGTGTAAATACTATAAGATAATACCAATATTATTGTTTAATATTACTGATCACTTATACCTAATATTTAATATTAAAAAAAATTCCCAGGCAAAGTACAAAGCCTTAATAATTTTGAAAAATTCTTTCAAGCCCAATGAATATAATAATTTTGGTAGATGAGAACTGAAATAAAATATTTAAATAATCATAATGAATTAAAAAATACAATCAGAATCAGATTTTCATGGGAGGTTTTTTGATTAGGCCGAGCCTAGGCCTGCAAAAAAAATTGTTTTAGGCCAATGTCTGACCCATAGTTAATAATAAAAAATTTCTCAAGCGTCCAAGCTCAATAATTTTGAAAAATTTTTCCCAAGCCCAGCCCTATATAATTTATAAAAATATTTTCCAAGCCCAGCCCAACCCATGATAATTTTATAAAAAAAATTTTCTCAAGCCTGGCCAACCCATAGTATTTTTCAAAATTTTTTCCCAAACCTGAAAATAGGTAAATCTCTAAAAACCATATCTATTTTTTATTTTTTATTCTATTTTAACCCAGCTCACCCCTACTTCAGTATAAGGCCAACCTATTAAGACTAAGAGTGAATACTATTTTTTTGAATGAAAATATATTTAAATTAGCTTTTACCCGAGAGCCATATAAATATTCTTTTTAAATATTACACCTATGCCTAATATTAAAAAAATTCCCAAGCCCAGGTCCACAAACTTAGGAAAATTTTCTCAAACTCGTTAAAGACCACAATAATTTTGGTAGTTGAGAACTGAAATAAAATATATAAAAAGTCACAATGCATTTAAACAATCAGAATATGAAAAATGCATGGGCCTTGGTTTTTGATCAGGGCTGGCCATGTTTTCAAAAGAAATTTTCAGGCCAATTTCTAACCCTTATTTAAAATTAAAAAATTTTCAGGAATCTAAAACTATATTAATTTTAAAAAATGTTTCCCAAGCTACGTCCAAGTCCATATTAATTGTGAAAAATATTTCCCAAGCCCAGGAAAACCCAGAATAATTTATTTTTTCCTTGGATCCAGAAAAATAGGTGTGATGTAAAAGGGGTTTATAAGAATTAAATCTGTCTAATATGTACATAATTTTGCCATTATATATTATTGGGAAAATTTTTCAAAGTTATCATCAAATGAAGGGGATATCTGATTTACCTATCATTCTACTGGTTAGCTCCTGATATTTATATGAAATTAATGAATTAAAGTCATGCTGAAAATATGTTCATCCTAATTTAAATTATAAACAAACCACCACACTTCCAAATGATTTATTACTTAGTTACAAAATTTAAATTTAAGACATTGTTATTAAATTACAATAGAAAAAATAAAAAGATATTCTAAGTTAACAAATAATAGGAGGTTAACTTTAATCATGGTCAAATTATATATAAGTAAAACAAAAAGGTTATACATTTAATCAAAAATGTTATAAGTTATGAAAAACATACATTCTACAATTAAATTATGAAGTTATGAGAAAATATACAAAACTGGAATGCATGTAGAAAGGCCAAATTTCCAGAAAAGATCAGAGAGATGCAAATATTAATTTATGCATAAAAATTAACTAATCAGCAACTATTGAAATAAAGAGAGAATTTACCCTTAAAAAAAAAAAAAATTAAAAGATATATAGTTATATAAAATTCAATGTGGAATGGATCCTGCTTTAATTATTAGAAACTTATAAATAATGTATCAATAAATTTCATGATTATTTACTCCATGTATATATATTATTTTTTTTATACTCAAATAACTTATGTTTTATTATATAAATCAATATATTAGGGGAAAATATTTTATTTATAAATTGAAAAAGGTAGACAATATTTCTTAAATTATAATAGATATATTCATTAACAATATTAAAATTAATAAAATTTTATCCATTAGTTGGCGTTAAATGTTAAAAAGTATTAATATTCCAGTGTTGTTAAAATAGCGCGCTAAGCTTTAGCTGGCTACTTTTTTTAGAAAATAGCGATAGCGGTAGCTCGCTACTAATTTAGATTCAATTTTACATAATAAATACATCTAAAAATTATTAAAATATATTTTTTATTAAATCTAAAATTATAATCCTTTTATTTAATTTAATTTTGAAATTTATATTTAAAAATATACATAATAAATCTAGTTATCATTATAAATCTAGTTATTAAAAATGTGTGAGATTGTTGAAGATAGTGAAATTTCTTTGGAAAATGAGAAAAATATAGATTATCCTTTCCCAAAATTCAAAAAATACTTTAATCTTGAAGAAACTGGATATCGGTTTCGATGCAAGAAAATTTTGCCAACCACTGGTAGAGTCTATGCTAAAAGTCATTGAGAAAATGTCAAAACTTTATTTTTATTTTCTATTATACAATTCTATAAAATGAATGCTTTATTGCTTGATTAGCCATAATTTAAATTGGCTTAATTTACAACACAATCTATAATATTAATATATAGTATTAATATAAAATTCAAAATTAATATATTATTAATTACCTTGTGTATAATAATTATATTTTTAAAATCTTTATTTACCATAATTTAATGCTATTTTAATATTTATTTATAAATGAATCTAAATCTCAGATTAATTTAAATTTTGAAAATTAAAAAGGTATTCTTATTTTATAATTAATACAATCGCTTTATATAAAATTAGATTTCCAGATCTGTATGATGATGATAATGTATAGCTGCTATCGTTCATCCTAGTTTTTAAATTGGCCATACATTAATTTGATTGAATCTAAAGGGCAACTTGATAGGCTGATGGTATAACGTTAAAAAATGCCATGCCTAACCACGAACACGATACTAATACTAAAGCAAGATCGAAACCGCGGATTTCCATAGACGATTTTTTTGAAATAAATAATAATAATATTATTGAACTTATAGATGCTTTTTTTAAATCTAAAAATACTCATTTAAATATCTTTGATGATTTTTTTCATATAAAAAGTGTGTTTATTAAATTTAATACTGCGTTGCCCTCAAGTGCTAGTGATGAACTATTATTTAGTATGGCAAAGCTTATACTTTCTGATCGTAGAGTACAAAATGTTATTATTATTAAAGTGCAATATTAAATAAATTATATATATATATAACAAATTATAGTCATGTTTTTAAACCAATATTTTATTTGTGGAAATAAAGTTATGTAAAAA